TGGAATGTTCTCCCCAGGGAGGATGACCTCGCGCCTTCATTACATATATTTAGGCACTGGTGCTGGAGGAGACTCTTGAAAGTCCCATGGACTGCAAGAAGATCAAACCTCTCCATTCTGAAGAAAATCAGCCCTGAGTGCTCACTAGAAGGACAGATAGTGAAGCTGAGACTCCAATACTTTGGCCACCTCATGAGAAGAGAAGACTCCCTGGAAAAGACCCTGATGTTGGGAAAGATGGAGGGCACAAGGAGAAGGGGACGACAGAGGACGGGATGGTTGGACAGTGTTCTCGAAGCCACCAGCATGAGTTTGACCAAACTGCGGGAGGCAGTGGAAGACAGGAGTGCCTGACGTGCTCTGGTCCATGGGGTCACGAAGAGTCAGACATGACTAAACGACTAAACAACAACAGGCGCCTTCAAATGAAGGGGTGCTCTACAAATTAATGATATTGATAATGATGATGATCATCATCATCTGTTTAGTCATTGTGAAAACAGAATGCTGGACTAGATGGACCCTTGGTCTGATCTAGCAGGCTATTTTTATGCTCTTATGAAGCCTGAGGTAGTCACCCATTACTCAGCACACCAGATCCTTATTCTTGACTTGTTCTTTCTTCTTTGTTCAATAAAGAAAAGCTCTGTGAAAATAGGGCCACCCTGTAACAGCCCTGTGACCACAGGGAAGGGGTGGGAGAACCGGCTTCTATTATGTCCACTGTAGCTCTCCCCATGCACAGGTGTCCATCATGGTTGAACTAGATGGAACTTCCAGCATTCAGTATAATTCTTAGTAAGTACATGTAGGAAAGAGTCCCAATAATATTGAGCCAAGCAAATAATAAATACCTAGATTAACAACTCCGAAATAGCTTTCTTACAATAATTGAAATATGTAAATAGAAATAGAAAATACTATTCAACCCTAGCACGATTAGCCCTTAATTGGCACATATTGGAAATAAAGAAAACAGGTCATTAAACGTATTCATACACGGAATGAACCAACCCCAATTTACTCCTAATGGGTAGTGTCAAAATTGCAGCTCTTGGTGAATTAATGCTAAGATTTAAAAGCAGGGGAAAGGAATTATATTCTATGTTGCAATTGGTAAAGTATTGTATTAACATAAACAATGCTCATTACCAAAGTCAGAATGACTTAAGGAAGAAGAAAAAAAGATAAATCTCACTTCAGAATAGAAATTGGAATAATTAACAACAGAAGCTCTTTTAAAAGGACGAAGCCTGCATCCAAAGCACTCCGCCACTCAATCTGCACATCAAGGGAGCTTTGGACTGATCACAGGAATCAGTTAAAAAGCACTAACAAGTGTACTGGGAACACCCAAATCCTTGGCCATGTTGAAAGTAGTTCTTTCGAGTCTAGCCACTGTCTGCTAATAGCTAGGAGGGGGACTTGATCAGATTGTCAGTACTACTGAATTATTTACTTGGCAAGACACCACCATCTTCTTCATACCAGCCACCTTTGCATAGCTACAGAACCCATATTTGAATAACTGGCTAAAAATAGCTAAAGGGTTACTGACATCTGACCAAGTGAGTCAAGGATGCGGGTGGCACTGTGGTCTAAACCACTGAGCCTCTTGGGCTTGCCAATCAGAAGGTCGGTGGTTCGAATCCCTGCAATGGGCTGAGCTCCTGTTGCTCTGTCTCACCTCCTGCCAACCTAGCAGTTTGAAAGCATGCCAGTGCAAGTAGATAAATAGGTACCACTGCAGCGGGAAGGCAAACGGTGTTTTCATGCACTCTAGTTTCCGTCAAGGTGTTCTGTTGTGACAGAAGCGGTTTAGTCATGCTTACTTTCAGGCCGAGGGAGCTGGTGTTTGCCCACATGAGCCAGAAAGCTGTCTGTGGGCAAACACCAGCTCCCTCGGCCTGAAAGTAAGATGAGTGCCATAACCTCATAGTCACCTTTGACTGGACTTTACCATTCAGGGGTCCTTTACCATTTCCCCTGAACTCAGCTCTCACCTGTGAGTCCTAGAAGCTGTCAGAAACTGCTTCTACTGGTCGGCTAAACCAAGTGAGGCTGGCTGATGTGTCTAAAAGCCTTGAGAAGTTAGAACCTTCCCCTGTGTTTGAAGATAGGCTCTGGTGGAATGAGTGGATGAGACCAACAGTGGGTCCAATGGTCAAGATGGTGGTTTCTGCATGTACTGGAGAGGGAAGTGGGGGAAGATGGGGCTCATTGACCTGGGAAGATAGCCTATCTGGAAGAAGGAAAACTGATCCCAAACCTCCACCACCTTGTGGAATATCTTCAGGAGAAGAAAAGACTAAGGCGCAAACCCTACACAAATTTGGAGTGGAGTCCTTAACCACATCAGCGACGCCATGGGGGGGGTCTTGTTATCTAGGCAAATACACTGCCCAGGCACCTCCACCCTGGGGAGGTCACTTCAGTGTTGCTAATGCAACAGTTTGCCTTCACCCCTGGTGTCACACTCCATTGTCTCTCGAGACAGACGGATGCCAATAACTACCTTATCATGTGATGTACAAAAGGACAAGTGCATCGTGACTATTAGTCCTATGTCACCCTTATCAGAGTTATCAATCCTGTTACCTCAGAGTAACACTCAAAACAGAGGTGTGGCACTAAAATTAGAAGTGTAACGCTCAAAACGGAGCATGTTCTGCTTCCCAAAAAAGTTTGCAAACCAGGGTTTGCAGTGTTTGGGTTCCAAGTTGTTTGAGTGCCAAGGTGTTTGAGAACCAAGGTACCACTGTAGAGAGGAAGAAGATTGTCTTCCCGGGCAGTTACTTGAATGTTTTTAAAATTATTATTGGTTAGGTCAGAATTAGATGATAAAAGAGATCTGTGGCTGCTGCATATTATTTTCAGCCCGACCCAAATTCTTGTCAGCAAAGCAAGTGGACTTTCAACAAAATGTTGCAGCATGATGAGCTCCTGTTTGAGAGATTCATTTGAAGCTTCCATTCAGTTTTCCATGCCCACTGAGCATCCCTAGTAGTCATTGAGATTTATTTTTTGGGGAAGGGGAATCTTCTTGGGACTTCTCTATCCTGCACAATTTAACCTACACAATAAACATTAGGAATAGAAGGATGTGTAGACATTATGATTACACAAGGCAATAAAAAGGATAAAAAGCATACAATGCCAACAACCAAAATAAAACAGTATAAAATACAGGTCGAACTTCACAGTGACCCATCAGATACAATAAAATACATGACAGCAGCTACTCCAGCAAGGCCAGGATGAAAAAGTGAGAGGAATCTTTAGGGTGTGCTGAAAATATAAGATTGTCGGTGCATTCCTTTCTTTGAGGGGAAGAGTGTTCCACATGGCAGATGCCTTTATACTAAAGGCACAAAACAGTATTTGAGATTCAAATTCATCCTCTAAAATAAGTGGTATCAATGAATTTGCAACGGAATGGGAGCTATGAGGGCAATGGTATCACATCACTGCCTCGACAGCATGGTGGAGAAAGATGTGGCATTGCTTCTTTTTGGCACAGCCATGCATGTCTTGAAATGTCTATTTCTGCTCCAACAGACTGTGCAACTTTACTTCTGCAATCCAACAACCAGATAGGTTGATGGGTAAAATAGGGAGGAACAAGGAACTTTCTGAACTTTTTGCTCTTAAACTAGACAAAACCTTCCTGCAGACATTTTAAAAGCTAAAGATATTTTAAAATAAAATTTAAAAAATCCCTGGGGGAAAATAACTCACTCCCTCTCCCAAGAAACTCTACCATAATATGCAGATTTTGTTTATATAAATGCCAGCTTTCATTTTTCACAATGAATTGATTCAGTGCTAACCAGCATGAGAAACAAGTGCAATAACAGTGATGGTAGAACAGTTGGCTTATCAGAAATTAAATATAAGTACAGTAGATTGATTTTTATTTATTTTTACTCACTGAGCTATTGAAAAGAGAGAGAAAATGCAGCAGCAATTCACCATTGGCTGCAGTCTGAACCTCTGCAGGGATTGGATGTGCATGCAGAGCTCCTTTTGAGAATGTTTTTCACCAGCACTGGGGAGAGTGGGATCAAAATTTGTATGTGCGCCACAGATGCTGAATCACACCAATAATCCTATATGCCCTTAGCTGGCCCTGCACATGATATATATTTTTCCATGAAGATTGAGGCAGTTTGGGGCATTGCTGCATTACTGAACAGGCCAGCAAGCCTGTTCTAAAGGTAAAGGTAAAGGGACCCCTCACCATTAGGTCCAGTCGTGACCGACTCTGGGGTTGTGGCGCTCATCTTGCTTTATTGGCTGAGGGAGCTGTCGTACAGCTTCCGGGTCATGTGGTCAGCATGACTAAGCTGCTTCTGGCGAACCAGAGCAGAGCAGTGCACGGAAATGTCGTTTACCTTCCTGCCGGAGCAGTACCTGTTTATCTACTTGCACTTTGACGTGCTTTTGAACTGCTAGGTTGGCAGGAGCAGGGACCGAGCAATGGGAGCTCACCCCGTCGCGGGGATTCGAACCGCCGACCTTCTGATCGGCAAGCCCTAGGCTCTGTGGTTTAACCAACAGCGCCACCCGCGTCCCTATTACTGTTCTAACAAAGTGCTAATACAGTCCACCATTTTGTTTTCATCCAAAATGTGTTTCTATGGTCTGTATTATTTTCTTAATACTATAATCTAATACAGGTTTGCCATGGCCTTTGTCTAGAACAATAAACTTATGAACTTGAACTAAAAAAAAATCAGTTTAAGGTTCATGATACTTTAATGACAACAAAAAAGTTCATTAAATGGACTGTTGAGACACCCAAGAGTTTTCAGGTAGTCTAAGGTGCAGAAATATTTCAGAAGTGCTCCTCTGCTCTTATTATATTTACATCAGTTACATTTAGAACTAACAGTGTTAAGATGACCCCTTATTCACTGCCAAATCCCATTAATCTTTCCCTTCTCTTCCAATTGCCTATAAAATCTGTTACATGAAATGACACAGCTTGGATTCGCAAGTGATAAATGATGGCCAGTATCACTTTATTCTTCAGTATCTTAGCAGCAGCAAGTTGTACATAAATAGGTATAAATCCACTTTTTAAAAAAACAATGATGCAGTATATTACATTCAAGAGTTTGGGTAAGGTGACTATAGTATCCTCGTCAAAATACTGGTCTGATCTGCGCATACGGCAGAATGTGAGGTGAGAATGAGATTGTTGTAGCCAAATATGATGGACTGGACTGTTACAATTCAGACTGCAGATGCGGGAGGATTTTAATGCTATTGTTTGTTTAAAAAGTAAAATAAAATAAATTCTCTGCTCCTGGAAAACTAGCACTAGTGGAAATAGTACAAAATCAATGACTTCTGCATTAGGACCAAACTACATGGTTTGGCCCTCAGTGTGTGATTTTTCTTTCAGAAACTGCCAATGAGTTGAGTGGCAAAATTCTGATTGGGAACTTGGTTTGCAATGATAGAGGAATTTAGCCATCTCTCCCTCCTGCTATCTAGATCAGTTCCTCACACACCTCCCAATGTGTAGATGGGAGGAAGCTCCCATTTCTCAAAGAAAGAAAACATGAACTCAGGGGAAAGCTTAATGCTTAAAGTCATGCAACTTGGCTCTTAGTGAAAATTCTGCACTCTGGTGTTCTCAGCCTTGCCTATGGGCAAGTATGCAACCTATGCCATTGATAGGTTTCTAGGTCATCGTGTAGTTTCCTTGAATTGACAAATTGCATTTCAAACTCCTCAAAGCTTTTTAAAAGAACGCTCCATGCTTTAGGAAGCTCTATACACCATACAACGAAGATAGCCATGTAGTTGCAATATAAAGATGAGTTGTTCATTCGTGACACCACACAGTCAAGGCCCACGGATTGGTAGTCAACACCCACTTTCTCTTAGATCATCTATAAATACATTTCATAAGTCTGCACACTGTACACGGACAACATATTGTGTTTCCTAGAATATTTTAGTCTCTGATGTGCAAATCTGAAGAACTGATTCTAAGTGTTTTCATGGACAATTCTGTGCCTCTGCAGGACACTGTTGAGTTCCTGAATAACATTTGCTGGAAGCTGCTTATCAGATTCCTGATGGGTTTGGCTAGTCTTGATCTCATTTTTCTTTGGTGACTTGCATTCCTTGTAGGGTCTTTGGGGTAAGTCAAGAACATCTGCCCCCATGTCATCCAAACAGATGAGGCTCCGGTGTTTTCTCGCACGGGTTCGGGCTTTTTCCTCCTTGCGCTCCAAACACTGAGCTACCATCGTCACTTTTTGTTTTAAACCTTTCCTGTCTTCGGTTAAGTCGCTTTCAAATTCCAGTTTTGAATTCTGAAGAAAGAGGAGCACAAGTTGAAATGCATGCTCAATACACCCCGAATAATTATCTGTAGCTCGTTTAGTTTGAAAGCAATTGTGGCCATTGTTTGTGAAGCAGACAAGAATTGTTATATAACTTTCCCTTACAAACAAGGCTTTCTGCTGCTACCCTGGGATTGCTAGATTTCCAAATGTGAAATTCCAGACAAAGTTGTTGACATTTTTTTGGCTGAAGTTGTTGAATAAGCTTTTGCGGGGGGGGGGGGGTTAAAGCACTAAAAAAACCCCACAACTACCCTAGTTGCCATACGTCCAGGCCTTCCCAAGCATTTTGCTGATTCAGCGAAAATATGCCCGGACGCCATTTTGACAGCCCAATTCCAGGACATGTCTGGGAAAACCAGGATGTATGGCAGCCCTCCTTCTGAGAGAGACGTGGTTTGAGACAACACACAAGACTAATGTCTCCCTCATGGTGCCCTCTCTCTGCAGCTCCCTGTCTCAAGAGGTTTGGTAATCTCTTTTCTGGGTTCCATGGGAATGGAAATCTTTCCTTTTTTAAAAAAAAAACATTTTATTTTGTTGCTGCTTAATGTACTGAGTTCTTGACTTCTGTGTTTTTGCTGCTGCTACTGTATTACATTCATTTAATTCCATTTATATTTATTTATTTTACTTTATTTAGTACTGTTTTTTTTAATAAAAAATCATTCAATTCTAACCCACACTTCATAGGGTAATCAGTTTTAATATTTTGTTGGGAGCCGTCCAGAGTGGGTGGGGCAACCCAGTCAGAAGGACAGCATAATAATAATAATAATAATAATAATAATAATAATAATAATAATAATAATAATAAATATTATTATCTCAGGGTGGAGTCCAATACAAGCAAATATGTGTTTTGAGAGCTGGATCACATTATGATGGTTTGTAAGCCATTTTATGGAGAGGAGCAACAGGGTATACTTTAAAAAAAATAAGCAAATAAATAAGTTCAATACTGAGATGAGCTCCATTGCATGTTACTTCCTATTCTGCCCTACTGAGGCAAAACAGAAAAGGAGGTCATTGTATCGTTAGCATTATGAATTTCTAAAGTGCTTAGAGCCGGGATGTCCCTTCAGATGTGATCTAAGTACAATTGCTATCATCCCTGACAATTGCCCCAATGTTGGCTAGGGCTGATGAGAGTTGGAGTACAACATCAGGGTTGTGGATTTGAGCTCCATGTTGGACAAAAGATTCCTGCATTGCAGGAGGTTGGACTAGATGATCCTCACAGTCCCTTCCAACTCCACAATTTTATGATTCTAAGATCATCTGTGGGGGCCCAGGATCCCCATCTCTGGAGAAAAAGAAACAAGAAACTACAGTGGTACCTCGGGTTAAGTACTTAATTCGTTCCGGAGGTCTGTTCTTAACCTGAAACTGTTCTTAACCTGAAGCACCACTTTAGCTAATGGGGCCTCCTGCTGCTGCCGCACCGCCGGAGCACGATTTCTTTCCTTATCCTGAAGCAAAGTTCTTAACCTGAAGCACTATTTCTGGGTTAGCAGAGTCTGTAACCTGAAGCGTATGTAACCTGAAGCGTATGTAACCTGAGGTACCACTGTATAATGTGTACAAAAATAAGAAGAAGCCGCAGACCCTTCTCCCAAGGCTTGTAACTTGAGAGACTGAACACATTTTAAAAAAACATGTTGAGAGAGAAAGGTCTGCTTGAAGAGTGAAAAATTAATTTTGAGAACAGTAGAATTTGAGCCAGATGAGCATCAGGAGGTCCTGAGTTCTAACGCAGTAAGTGAAACTGGATGCAGTTAAGGAACAGAAGATATAATTTAGGGTTCATAAAGTAGAAGGACATAAGAACACTGAAGGATTTGAGGAGGGACATGGAGAAAGAAGAAGAGAAATCAGAACAATAAAGTCGTTAGAAAGCCAGTAGAAGATTATCATCATTAACATCCATTGTGTATGGAAAGTTTCTTTTGTATTCCCAAACTGATAACTCAAAAATGAATCATATCCACATAGGCAAATCATCTGTTATGCCCCCATGTGTATATGCAGTGGTTTCTAGTCAAGTTGGATGGGTAAGTTAGAGCTATAAATTTTATTTTCTCCCTACCTCACCTAGAAACAGAACTAAACACTCATACCCAAAAGACACGACTGCACTCCTTGTGGGAGCACACGATTCATCTTGCAAGGCACATATGTTGAAGAAACAAATCCCAACAGACCCTAAATGTCTGCTGCTATACGAGGAGGCCTCAGTTGCTATGGTTCCAGCCAATTTCTTCTTCAAGTTGAACAACATTATAATGGAAATATATGGCTGCTAAGTTCCAGATGAGGCTTAATTTACTATTTCAGCTGTTTAGTGCAATTCTAGATATACATTTTTGAGAACTTCCCTGCTTTGGGGGGAATAAGCAGTGATATGGCACAGGAAAAGAGTGAAATTATTCTTTGATGGATGCATTAGAGCTCTTGAAGTGCAATAATTTTTCATTTAATTCAAATGGATATTTTGTCCCCTAGATAAGACTTCTATTTAATGAAAAATTAATCTGACAGAAAAAAATAAATAGAATTATTTATGAGTGCCAATGCAGTTACATGAATCTCACAAAATGCGCCACAAATCTTTAACATCAACATGTTATTATGACATAAATTCAAATATTTAATATACAGAACTAATTCCATACAAAAGAGAGTGTGTATATTATCCTTTGCCTTCAGTTTATGGATGCCATTTTTTAAACTGTTATATTTCTTTCTTTAATATAGGCCGGAGTGTGCTATGTTTGTGCAACTGCAAAGGTCTCTGCATTAGGAATATCTGCTGTTCTAATTATCACTGGACTAGAACACCTACAAAAAGTGGAGTAATACAAATGCTAATAACCAGATATATCCAGCAACCCACCTCTGATGCGTTGACTTTGGTTTTGGGCACACTTCTTTCTTGTTGGATTGGTATTAAAGGCAAGCCACCAATTTTTGGATTTTTAGTAACAGACTGCTTTCTTGTCTTCCCATCTGGTGGCCAGATATCACTGTGCTGTGGAAAATTTGTCAAGTCAGAGACATTATTACTGTGAAGTGCAATCTCTTTAGTATACAAAATTAAAGCAGTATATTTTAGAACTCAGTAGGGTTCTCAAATGTGAAAAAGAGCAATGTGGTGACCTTTGAAGCCTTTCTAAGGCAATTGGTGACCAATGCATTGAAGGACTATTGAGGGTAGGTCAGTCAGCACGCCAGCTACAAATCAGCCAAGCCCCCAGCAAATCTACGCTCATCGCCAGTCTGAAGAAGGTCGCACTCTCCATACAGTGGTACCTCAGGTTACATACGCTTCATGTTACAGACTCCGCTAATCCAGAAATAGTGCTTCAGGTTAAGAACTTTGCTTCAGGATGAGAACAGAAATCATGCTCCGGCGGGCGCGGCGGCAGCAGGAGGCCCCATTAGCTAAAGTGGTGCTTCAGGTTAAGAACAGTTTCAGGTTAAGAACAGACCTCTGGAACGAATTACCTGAGGTACCACTGTATTGCCTTCATGCATCCTCTACTGTTGGCTTGCACTTGATATAAAAAAGACTGCAGAGCATCTTTTAAACTGACTCTTGTGGGAAAGTTGTCAGGAGCTGAGGAACATCTAGATCACCCCTGGAAGATGGAAGGCTTCATCTCCTCAGATCATCTAGATCATACCTAGAATGAGCTGAGGAACATCTAGATCATCCCTAGAAACCATCTGATAGTTGGCAGGCTTCATCCCCTCAGAAGGGGGAACCATGTCTGCAATTCACATCCAATTCTGGAAGACTATAAAGAAGTTACAGATTTAAAAATATGTAAACATTCCCAGCATGAAAACTCCTATATGTATTTGCCAAATCGGGGACTGGGGGGCAGGCAGCTTTGCCTGTAAATTCCATTCACCTTTGTAAAAAGGAGTGTGTGTGTGTGTGTGTGTGTGTGTGTGTGTGTGTAGATAGGTAAAGGACTCCTGGACAGTTAAGTCCAGTGAAAGGTGACTATGGAGTGCGGCACTCATCTCGCTTCTCAGGCTGAGGGAGCCGGCATTTGTCCACAGAGAGCTTTCCAGGTCATGGGGCCAGCATGACTAAACCACTACTGGCCCACGGAACACAGTGACGGAAGCCAGAGTGCACAGAAATGCCATTTACCTTCCCACCGCAGAAGTACCTATTTATCTACTTGCACTGGCATGCTTTTGAACTGCTCGGTTGGCAGGAGCTGGAAGAGAGCAATGGGAACTCAACACTGCTGCAGGGAGTCGAACTGCTGACCTTCTGATCGACAAGCCCAAAACGCTCAGATAGATAGATGATAGATAGATGATAGATATAGATAGATAAATAGATGATAGATAGATGATAGATATAGATAGATAGATAGATAGATAGATATAGATAGATAGATATAGATAGATGATAGATGATAGATAGATAGATAGATAGATAGATAGATAGATAGATAGATAGATGATAGATAGATAGATGATAGATAGATAGATAGATAGATAGATAGATAGATAGATAGATAGGATATAGATAGATGATAGATAGATAGATGATAGATAGATAGATAGATAGATAGTAGATAGATGATAGATAGATGGATGGATAGATAGATAGATAGATGATAGATAGATAGATAGATAGATAGATAGATAGATATAGATAGATATAGATAGATATAGATAGATGATAGATAGATAGATGATAGATAGATAGATGATAGATAGATAGATAAATAGATAGATAGTAGATAGATGATAGATAGATAGATAGATAGATAGATGGATAGATAGATAGATAGATAGATAGATAGATAGATAGATAGATAGATAGATGATAGATAGATAGATAGATAGATAGATGATAGATAGATAGATGGATAGATAGATAGATGGATAGATAGATAGATAGATAGATAGATAGATATAGATAGATAGATGATAGATAGATAGATAGATAGATAGATAGATAGATAGATAGATAGATAGATAGATATAGATAGATAGATAGATGAGATATAGAGACATTTTCAGATTGCCCATTAACTAATAGGAATGAAACAGATTTTAGGATAGAATAGATAAGATTTGAACCCGAATATTGATTTGAAGCAGAATGGTGCCAAATAGATCTGAAACAGACCAGACTGCTTCCAAAGGTACTGATTCTTGGGGTTTCTGTGCACCCCTTGGAGTGAGGTGGTGTTGCTCTATATATCAAAGAGGACTTTAAGTGTAATAAATTAGAAATCGCAAATGATGTGAACATCTCCACAGGGTAGCAATAGCAGGCCCTCAAAATAATTCAGTAGTGGGGAGATACACCCCCCCATGACCAAAACGGTGAGAGCAGCCTTGAGATACAGAATGAAATCAGAGAGGTATCTAAAATGAGAAAGGTTTTATTGAGGAAAGATGTCATGTGTAGTTTACAATTTATGTTGATAAGGTAAATTTTTGTGTAATGAGTGTGTGGGTGTGTATGCATACAGACAAATGTGTTAATACATACCTAACACATACATTAAAATGCAAAATTATTTTCAAGAACCCAGAGAGTTTTTCTTTTGAATAATGATATAAAAGAACTAATACCTGTGCAATAAAAATGCTGCTTAGCCAATCCAATTGGGAATCCTGTCCATCACAACACAAATGCCTAGAAGACACACATTAATTAGCTCGAATTCAGTTGCAGTGACATAATATACTACACAAGCAATGCCAGTCAAGTTGGCACTATAATTGTTTGCAATACTTCAGAAAAATCTAAGCAATAATGGAGAAGACATGGATCAAATCTGAAGATACATCACTATGCATGCTTAGCGGACAGATTCTGGCATTGGTAGAACTCATACTTTCAGTCCTTTAGTGTCTAGGGAAGAGGCAGTCAGTGTGCTATAGTAAAACAAGTGTTGGTCTTGAATTTGTGGTATCTGGTCTCAAATTCAGGCAAGAATCTCTTTGGGTGAGTCATTCTCCTCATTTAATTAAAAAAATAGCCATACCTTTCCAGATGCAATGAAAAATGGGAAATTGTTTCTGTGCCAATTACTTACCAGTGATGTTTTTCAGAATACAATGTAAGACCCCAACTGCAAAAAACAATAAAACAATTAACACATACTTATTGTGTGTGCGGTCATCTCGCTTTATTGGCTGGGGGAGCCAGCGTACAGCTTCCAGGTCATGTGGCCAGCATGACTAAACCACTTCTGGCGAACCAGAGCAGCACACGGAAATGCCATTTACCTTCCTGCCAGAGTGGGACCTACTTATCTACTTGCACTTTGAGGTGCTTTCAAACTGCTAGGTGGGCAGGAGCAGGAACCGAGCAACGGGAGCTCACCCTGTCACGGGGATTCGAACTGTTGGCCTTCTGATCGGCAAGTCCTAGGCTCTGTGGTTTGACCCACAGCGCCACCCGTGTCCCATTATGAAAGCAAAAGCCCTTCAACTTTGGATACCAAGATGCTGTGGGACCACAATTCTCACCATCCCAGACTATTGGCTAAGAATAATGGGAATTGCAGTCCAGCAACATCTGGGGCAGAGACATAGCTATTTGGGGGCCTAGTTGGGTCCCCCCATGAAGCCTCCAAAAGGGCTCCATTGAGGATCCTGGCCTCTCTGTGTGTGTGTACACATATGCGCATGGGGAGGGTGCCAAACTTGGTCTTTGAGTCAGGTGAAATAAAGCCTAGTTCTGCCCTGAGGCTGACAAAGACTGCAGCATAAGCCATGGGTTGTATCAAACATTGCGGCCCTTCTCCCCTGTAGCCTGCTTAAAAATGCTTCTTCGCAGGGTCGGGAAGACCTACTGAATATTGTGGACACTGTGTAATGGGGCAGTGGGACTGCATGTTTCAGGCAACAAACCCAAGTGGATCGTTGGTGGGCCCTGATTCCAGTGGTGCAAAATGCTGATTAATACCACTTCAGTGCAAGGTCCCTCAGAAAAGAATTTTCAGGCAATTTTTTGAGGATTTCTGTGCTGTCTGGCCCCATCCTATTGAATGTACTCTACTCAATGTATTTTAGAGGAATGATCTCACACAACATATACAAAACAACAACAAATGGGGAATCTGTATTTGCGTATCTGCTCTTACTGCTCATGAATGGAAGGGTTTTTGGAAAGATTAGTGATGGGGGACAGTGGAAGACAGGGGCGCATTCTCACTGTATTCATTAGATAGGAGCTACCTTAAGGTAAAAAGGTAAAGGACTCCTGGACGGTTAAGTCCAGTCAAAGGCGCTTATGGGGTTGAGGTGCTCATCTTGCTTTCAGGCTAAGGGAGCCAGCATTTGTCCACAGACAGCTTTCTGGGTCATGTGGCCAGCATGACTGGTGCAACGGGACACCGGGACATAAGTCAGAGTGCACAGAAATGCCATTTACCTTCCTGCCACAGCGGTACCTATTTATCTACTTGCACTGGTGTGCTTTTGAACTGCTAGGTTGACAGGAGCTGGGACTGAGCAACGGGAGCTCACCCCATTGCGAGGATTCGAACTGCCGACCTTCTGATCGGCAAGCCCAAGAGGCTTAGTGGTTTAGACCACAGCGCCACCCACATCCCAGCACATGCACAGAAGTATGCACCCAGTTCTGGCCAGTATTTATCCCAAGTATGTGGCCTACAGAAAGTTAGCAAAGGGTGATTGTCATCCCTGGGCCAACTACCCTTTAGTCACTCCCAGTTTAAGTTTTTCATCCAGTGCTTTGAAATTTCGTTGAGTTATATGCAATAAACCAATAAAGACAAAATAAGCTACCATATGCCAGCCTGAAGGAAATTATGGTCAAACTGTGGTTTGGTGCTAACTACGCCGAGCAGGGCACACAAGATGAACAGGTCATAGTGGAGAGTTTCGACCAAACATGATCCACCTGGAGGAGGAACCGGCAAGCCACTCCAGTATCCTTGCCAAGAAAACTCCATGGACAAAGACAACAGGCATATAAAAGTTATGACGCTGGAAGATGAGCCCCTCAGGTCGGAAGGCGTCCAACATGCTACTGGGGAAGAGCGGAGGGCAAGTACAAGTAGATCCAGAGCTGATGAAGCGGCTGGGCCAAAGCCGAAAGGATGCTCAGTTGCGGATATGCCTGGAAGCGAAAGGAAAGTCCAATGTTGTAAAGAAAAATATTGCATAGGAACCTGGAATGTAAGAACCATGAACCTGGGTAAGTTGGAGGTGGTCAAAAATGAGATGGCAAGAATAAATATTGACATCCTGGGCATCAGTGAACTAAAATGGACGGGAATGGGCGAATTCAGTTCGGATGACCATCACATCTACTACTGTGGGCAAGAAACCCGTAAAAGAAATGGAGTGGCCCTCATAGTCAACAAAAGAGTGGCGAAAGCTGTACTGGGATGCAATCTCAAAAATGATAGAATGATCTCGATACGAATCCAAGGCAGACCTTTTAACATCACAGTAATCCAAGTTTATGCACCAACTACTGGTGCTGAAGAAACTGAAATTGACCAATTCTATGAAGACTTACAACACCTTATAGAAGTGACACCAAAGAAGGATGTTCTTCTCATTATACGGGATTGGAATGCTAAAGTAGGGAGGCAAGAGATAAAAGGAACAACTGGCAAGTTTGGCCTTGGAGATCAAAACGAAGCAGGGCAAAGGCTAATAGAGTTCTGTCAAGAGAACAAGCTGGTCATCACAAACACGCTTTTCCAACAACACAAGAGACGACTCTACACATGGACATCACCAGATGGGCAGCATCGAAATCAGATTGATTATATTCTCTGCAGCCAAAGATGGAGAAGCTCTATACAGTCAGCAAAAACAAGACCTGGAGCTGACTGTGGCTCAGATCATCAGCTTCTTATAGCAAAATTCAAGCTTAAACTGAAGAAAGTAGGAAAAACCACTGGGCCGGTAAGATACAATCTAAGTCAAATCCCTTATGAATACACAGTGGAAGTGAGGAACAGGTTTAAGGATTTAGATTTGGTGGACAGAGTGCCTGAAGAACTATGGATGGAGGCTCGTAACATTGTACAGGAGGCAGCAACGAAAACCATCCCAATGAAAAGGAAATGCAAGAAAGCAAAGTGGCTGTCCAACGAGGCCTTACAAATAGCGGAGGAGAGAAGGCAAGCAAAATGCGAGGGAGATAGTGAAAGATACAGGAAATTGAATGCAGATTTCCAAAGAATAGCAAGGAGAGACAAGAAGGCCTTCTTAAACGAGCAATGCAAACAAATAGAGGAAAACAACAGAATGGGAAGAACCAGAGATCTGTTCAAGAAAATTGGAGATATGAAAGGAACATTTCGTACAAAGATTACCATAATAAAGGACAAAAGTGGTAAGGACCTAACAGAAGCAGAAGACATCAAGAAGAGGTGGCAAGAATACACAGAAGAATTATACCAGAAAGATATGGATGTCTCGTACACCCCAGGTAGTGTGGTTGCTGACCTTGAGCCAGACATCCTGGAGAGTGAAGTCAAATGGGCCTTAGAAAGCACTGCAAATAACAAGGCCAGTGGAAGTGATGGTATTCCAGCTGAACTATTTAAAATTTTAAAAGATGATGCTGTTAAGGTGCTACACTCAATATGCCAGCAAATTTGGAAAACTCAGCAGTGGCCAGAAGATTGGAGAAGATCAGTCTACATCCCAATCCCAAAGAAGGGTAGTGCCAAAGAATGCTCCAACTACCGCACAATTGCACTCATTTCACACGCTAGCAAGGTTATGCTTAAAATTCTACAAGGAAGGCTTAAGCAGTATGTGGATCGAGAACTCCCAGAAGTGCAAGCTGGATTTAGAAGAGGCAGAGGAACCAGAGACCAAATTGCAAACATGCGCTGGATTATGGAGAAAGCTAGAGAGTTCCAGAAAGACATCTACTTCTGCTTCATTGACTATGCAAAAGCCTTTGACTGTGTCGACCACAGCAAACTATGGCAAGTTCTTAAAGAAATGGGAGTGCCTGATCACCTCATCTGTCTCCTGAGAAATCTCTATGTGGGACAAGACGCTACAGTTAGAACTGGATATGGAACAACTGATTGGTTCAAAATTGGGAAAGGAGTACGACAAGGCTGTATTTTGTCTCCCTGCTTATTTAATTTATATGCAGAATACATCATGCGAAAGGCTGGGCTGGATGAATCCCAAACTGGAATTAAGATTGCCGGAAGAAATATCAACAACCTCAGATATGCAGATGACACAACCTTGATGGCAGAAAGTGAGGAGGAATTAAAGAACCTTTTAATGAGGGTGAAAGAGGAGAGCGCAAAATATGGTCTGAAGCTCAACATCAAAAAAACGAAGATCATGGCCACTGGTCCCATCACCTCCTGGCAAATAGAAGGGGAAGAAATGGAGGCAGTGAGAGATTTTACTTTCTTGGGCTCCATGATCACTGCAGATGGTGACAGCAGCCACGAAATTAAAAGACGCCTCCTTCTTGGGAGAAGGGCAATGACAGGCCTAGACAGCATCTTGAGAAGTAGAGACGTCACCTTGCCAACAAAGGTCCGTATAGTTAAAGCCATGGTTTTCCCAGTAGTGATGTATGGAAGTGAGAGCTGGACCATCAAGAAGGCTGATCGCCGAAGAATTGATGCTTTTGAATTATGGTGCTGGAGAAGACTCTTGAGAGTCCCATGGACTGCAAGAAGATCAAACGCATCCATTCTTAAGGAAATCAGCCCTGAGTGCTCACTGGAAGGACAGATCGTGAAGCTGAGGCTCCAGTACTTTGGCCACCTCATGAGAAGAGAAGACTCCCTGGAAAAGACCCTGATGTTGGGAAAGATGGAGGGCACAAGGAGAAGGGGGCGACAGAGGACGAGATGGTTGGATAGTGTTTTCGAGGTTACCAGCATGAGTCTGACCAAACTGCGGGAAGTAGTGGAGGACAGAGGTGCCTGGCGTGCTCTGGTCCATGGGGTCACGAAGAGTCGGACACGACTAAACGACTAAACAACAACAACAACAAAAGTTAGTAAAGGGACGCAGGTGGCGCTGTGTGTTAAATCACAAAGCCTAAGACTTGCCGATCAGAAGGTCAGCGGTTCGAATCCCTGCGATGGGGTGAGCTCCCATTGTTCAGTCCCTGCTCCTGCCAACCTAACAGTTCGAAAGCACGTCAAAGTGCAAGTAGATAAATAGGTATCGCTCTGGCGGGAAGGTAAACGGCGTTTCCGTGCACTGCTCTGGTTCACCAGAAGTGGCTTAGTCATGGTGGCCACATGACCCGGAAGCTGTACGCTGGCTCCCTCAGCCAACAAAGCGAGATGAGCACCACAACCCCAGAGTCATCCACGACTGGACCTAATGGCCAGGGCTCCCTTTACCTTTACCTAAGGTTAGTAAAAATGCCAGTGCTGAGGTAACAATAGCTGAAGTAGTGGCGAGTCTGCAGGATTTGGCAATTGTGCAGTACTGTGCCTGCACCGAGTCAAAGTTGTACCTCAGGGAAGGCAAATGTTTCTTCTCTGGATCTGAGCTTGACACCGAGATGATCAAATTAGTGTGTTTTACTGCCTCCCACATTGAATATCTGCCTATCACTAGAATTCAGGTCAGAGGATCGGAGACAATTTAAGCACATAACCAATACAACCCACAAGAGACAGCACGCTGAGATAGAAAAGGGTGGTCAATAATGCAATTTCTTAGCACAGAAGCATTAGGACCACTTGGGTAAAAGAGCAACTAATATTATGGGGATGCAATTTAAGAGCAGGACAAAACGATGGATATAGATTAGCTTCCTTGTTTTCGTTGGTTGTTAAAAGTTTTGTGTTCCCGTCTTGTCAATAATGCAGCATGCCTGGCTAGAAAGAAACCAACACAGCCTTTTCTTTCATCTTCTTTTCTTACTTTGTTGGGGGCTTCAGTTTCTTCTTCACTCCAAGATACAGTTTCAGTGATTTCACCGGCAGCACTTTCTCAGGCTTGCTGCTCTGTTGAGATCAGAAATGTCTAAATCAATGGAATGGAAATGTACTAACTGGAACGCTGGAAAATAAATATATATCACACACACGCATATACACAAACACAAAAACACCATATATATCACCCATTATCAGCTTTTCTTCTGGCTATGCCTTCTTGCCATTTAATTACAGGCCAATTTATTCCAAATCATTCTCCCTTTCAATTAGCATGTAAATGGAAAGCATTCGTCCCTGGGGTGCATTTAAGAAGTAATGCAGAAAACTGGTTAATTTTACTTATTTGACTATGCTGTTTATAGAAAGTAACGACCAAAGATAGGGGGGGGATACAAAAGGAAAGAAGCAGAAACTCTTGAAATATGAAGAATACTACAGTCCTACCTCAGCTCCCAAACGCCTTGGGAGTCGAACGTTCTAGTTCCCAAACCATTGAAAACCAGAAGTGAGTGTTCCTGTTTTCGAATGTTCTCCAATTTGAGTGCCACACTTCCGTTTTGAGTGTTACGCTGAGGTCTGTCTTTTTTTGCTATTTATTTTGCGTTTCTGTTTTTGTGGCTCTTTTTTTGCTTCAGTGACTGTGTGGAACCCATTTTAGCTACTGATTGACATTGTGTGACTGCAGTACATTGTTGATTGCTTTCATTTTATGGATCAATGGTCTCGTTAGTAAAATTTGTGTTAAATTGCTGTTTTAGGGGTTGTTTTTAAAAGTCTGGAACAGATTAATGCATTTTGCCTTACTTTCTATGGGAAAGCGTGCTTTGGTTTTGGAACGCTTTGGTTTTGGTACGGATTTCTGGAACGGATTATGTTTGAGAACCAAGGTACCACTGTACTGGGAAAATACCGTTAGAAAAGGAGAAGAGACCTTCACTGACCTATTTCTAAGGATATGACAAGCTAAATCCCCACCATAAATCATTACACATCTCTCTTTTGGGGGATGGATCCACCAGGAATCCAGAAAAGCTGAACCCAGTTTCATGGGAGCCCCTTTACATCCTCTTAACTTCCTCAGGCTCAAGATGGCACACGTGTACAGTAGCATCCCATGACTTTCAGGCAAATTCAACTCACTGCTGAGCTCTCTCTTTTCCTTCGTATTTTGTGGCTAATGGGCCTTGCAATGTTTCAAAAATAATTTTTAATCCAATTCTGCCACAGTAATAAAAGCAGCCATTCATGCAAAAGAAATGTACTTATTAATCTAGGTATGCACAAGTGAATAAGTTTTTAAATGATAGCTTAGCAGTGTAATATAACATTTTCAGGCAATTGATTGGTAATATTGCACATAATGAAATAAACATATCTGTGCTGACATCATCTGATTTAGAGGACTTGCAGTGGCATGTTTGAAAAAAGGCATTAATTACAGGGTAAATAAAGAAGCATTAAAACAAAGAAAGGCAGAGGAGGGGAAAGGTGGGGCAAAATTGGAAATGGGATAGGGATTTTTTTTGCTGGAGCATTTTAGACACGCTTCTCGTCAATTAATGGTATGTAATATACCATATTTTTCGCTCTATAGGATGCACTTTTCCCCCTCCAAAAATGAAGGGGAAATGTGTGTGCGTCCTATGGAGTGAATGCAGGCTTTCGCTGAAGCCTGGAGAGCGAGAGGGGTCAGTGCGCACCGCTCTCCAGGCTTCAGGAAGTTATCCACAAGCCTTCTGAGCCCTGCGAGAACTCCCACCGGGCTCTGAAGGCTTGCAGATAGCAGCCTGCAGCCCAAAACCCAGGGAGCGCAGAGCTGTGCACCCCGGGCTTCGGGCAGCTATCCGCAAGCCTTCAGAGCCCGGCGGGAGTTCCCGCTGGGCTTAGAAGGCTTGCGGATAGCAGCAAGCTCCGGGAGTGAAGGCGAGGTTGCACGCAACCTCACCGCCGCTCCCGGACCTGTTCTGGGGGCTGGGGTCAGGGGAAGCTCGGGCTTCCCCCACCCCCGCCCCGCGGCTAAAAACGAAGCCAAGATAGTGAACAGGATCCATCCCGCTCGCTGACTTGGCTTCTTTGCTCTTTGGGGCTGGGGGGGGGGAATAATTTTTTTTCTTTATTCCCCCCCCCCTAAAATCTAGATGCACCTTATGGTCCGGTGCGCCCTATAGAGCAAAAAATACGGCACTTGAAATTAAAAACTGCAGAATGACATCCACATTAGACTTCTTAGTGCAGAACCACAAAGAAGTTTGTGATGATGATGATGATGATGATGATGATGATGATGATGATAAGAAGAAGAAGAAGAAGAAGAAGAAGAAGAAGAAGAAGAAGAAGAAGAGGAAGAAGAAATTTTATTTATATCCTGCCCTCCCCAGCCGAAGCCGGGCTCAGGGCAGCTAACAACAATCAATCAAATAATACAACATTCTAAAAACATTTCATTATAAAAATTAATTAAAATCAAATTGATGGCAACCGTTAAGCAAAGTTCTGTGCAGATTGCCAGTGGAGGGAGTCAGGCTGCGCCCTGACCAAAGGCCTGGTGGAACAGCTCTGTCTTGCAGGCCCTGCGGAAAGATGTCAGGTCCCGCAGGGCCCTGGTCTCTTGTGACAGAGCGTTCCACCAGATTGGAACCGCAGCCGAGAAAGCCCTGGCTCTAGTTAAGGCCAGCCTAACCTCTCTGTGGCCTGGGACCTTCAGGATGTTTTTATTTGCAGACCGTAGGTTGCTCTGTGGGATATACCAGGAGAGGCGGTCCCGTAGGTAGTGCCAAATAATTCTTTCTTGCAAAGAATTTGGTAGTGACACCACACACAAAAGGTTGCCCAGGATTGAGATCGCTCACCTGTTCTATCAAGTTCAGAACAGACTACTCACTTATCCTGACATCACTACTATACAGCAGTAATGTTGATCAAGAGCACAGAATTATAAAGCAGACTCAACATAAGGACAATGGGGTAAGTTAAAGGACAGGCGGGGTAGTTAGACACAAGTTCTTTGCAACGTTTTGTCGTGAAAATAAATGATTCAGACATTATATCAAGGGAATATTTTATGCTTCTATTTTTTTAAAAAAAAATGTTTCCATTCTTTTATAACAAATAATATGCCTTTCTGCTTTTCTTTTTCTTATGTACACATCACCACGAGAAGTGAAATGTTAAGGGAAAAGTTATGAACGGGAGCAATTTAATGGTATGAAATGCAAAGTTTAAGGCAACTTATTAAATCAACCCAGTGATAAACACTTGCCAAGTGCTAATTAAGACTTCAGTCATGCCCAGTTACATGTGCACAAGTTTTAAAGGTGCCAATTTGTACTCACAAATGTGCCAATTTTAGATTGTAGCCCTAAATAATTAGACATCTTTTTTAAAACACAGCAGCCGTGCCAATTAAAGGACAGTTTAAGGTTTTTAGGGGGGAAAAATCTATGCTTAATACCATCATAATATTAACACATACTTTACTGGTCAGCTAAAAAGAAAAAAAAGTTCCATTTTTCCATAGGAAACACAGAAGCTGAGAAAGGAATTTCACTTTCTCCCTTAACATTTTATGAAAGGACCATAAATCAAGATGTTCTGATGAAACATTGCTAACCAATTAATTAAAATGCTTGAGAAAGCCAAGGTAATACTAATAGTATAACTCTATACATATCTACTAAGAAGTGGGCCCTTTCGAGTTCAATGACACTTACTCTCAAGTAGGTGTGTTTAGGATTTCAGCCGTAAATATGTTAATCATCCTCTTGAACAATGGAATGTATAAGGATAAAAAAAATGTGATTACCTAGTAAAAGGAGGCCACAGACCATGTTTAAATACTTTGGAGTCTGCCTTGCCAAGTCAAGACCAAGCCTAACTTCTAATTTCAGCTCTTGTTTCAACATTAACTATGGGAACCCTGGATTGGTGAGCACCCCATTCCAGGTTCTGGAATAATATATGGGAGCCAGTGTTCCAGGTTCTGGAATAATATATGGGAGCCAGTGTTCAATTCACACAATGGAACAGTTGTCCATTCAGGCAACATGTGGTGTTAACTGAAGCCACATTAACAGCCAAAAAACATGGTGACCATGTTCACATCTCCTTTTCTGAGAAGGAAGACATAGGCCTGGTTTACCGTATTTTTTGCTCTATACGTAAAGGTAAAGGTACCCCTGCCCGTATGGGCCAGTCGTGTCCGACTCTAGGGTTGTGCGCCCATCTCACTTAAGAGGCCGGGGGCCAGCGCTGTCCGCAGACACTTCCGGGTCACGTGGCCAGCGTGCTCTGGTGAGCCAGCACCAGCGCACCATTTACCATCCCGCTAGAAAGTGGTACCTATTTATCTACTTGCACTTTTTAGAAGGGGTGCTTTCGAACTGCTAGGTGGGCAGGAGCTGGGACCGAAGACAGGAGCTCACCCCGTTGTGGGGATTTGAACCGCCGACCATGCGATCGGCAAGCCCTAGGCGCTGAGGTTTTACCCACAGCGCCACCCACGTCCCTTTTCGCTCTATAAGACTCACTTTTTCCCTCCTAAAAAGTAAGGGGAAATGTATGTGCATCTTATGGAGCGAATGCAGGCTGCGCAGCTATCCCAGAAGCCAGAACAGCAAGAGGGATTGCTGCTTTCACTGCACAGCGATCCCTTTTGCTGTTCTGGATTCTGAGATTCAGAATATTTTTTTTTGTTTTCCTCCTGCAAAAACTAGGTGCGTCTTGTGGTCTGGTGCATCTTATAGAGCGAAAAATACGGTATGTTAGACAGTTGGAAGCTTGTCCAAACCAAGCACCCATCACAATCGGCGCATGTCTGGTTCCGCCATGGCTTCTGCTTGGCCCTGAAAGGTACCAGTCTTAAGTCCATTAAATGGCATGAACAATGTGTGGATATGAAAGGTAAGGTACTTGTGCTTCCCTTTTGGATTTCAAGATTCCCTATCACAAAAACATCCCACCTTCAAAGAAGAGCGGATCACTAAAGAAAATTTGTCCTTAGAGCCTGTTATTTTACAGCCTTGAACTCCCCCCCTCCTACATTATCCAAAGCACTCTTTCCCAATCTTGACGTTCCTCCTGCTATCGTTTTTCCTCTTCACCATCACAATTTACTCAGATTAGGTCCTCTCGCCTGTCTCATGCTTTCGCCTGGACAGACTCACTGATGGTGAGAATACAGAGAGAAGGGAACAAAATAATTTTTCCTTGCCATATGATTCTTTTTTTAAACAGACTACCCAAGCTCCACAAATCAGTGAGGTGCCTATTAAAAGTGTTGGCAACACATTCGACATTCACTCAAGTGTGTTTGAATTAAATGTTACATTAATCTTCACTCTTGTGCAAAGCAGAATAAATTCCTTTTGAAACTCTGACTTTTTGTGTGTGTGTGTTATACTGTATTGTATTGGCAAAACCCAGAATGTTTTCCAACTTTTCACGTCGGCAAGCAGAACAAAAAGCGTCTAATGTCAGTTGTCAAACCCAACGTGAAAAGAAGGATTTTAAGCATAATTGCTCGTGATTTTAAAAGGACTCTTTATACCTTCATATCCTTGTAAAGGAAAAGATTTCCTTCCCGCAAAACAAAATAACGCTCCTGAAACTTATTTCCAGACAGTAATTTGGATGGTTCCTCTTTGTATTTCAGATAGCTGGCTTTTACGGTGCCTTCTGCCTTCTTTTCTGTCAAGATGATAAAAAGAGCACAGTATTTTATTTTATTTTTTAAATAAACACTCTGCAGAGTACCGAATTTCATAAATCCTTAACATTAATCTCCACAAACAGAATACAGAAAAAAATAAAGATCCTTTGACTGCCTCAATTTATTTTAAACACGGTTGCCCTTGGCAGACAGAAGGCTTATGCACAGTTTGATTACTTTAACTATGGTTACGTATTACACCCTGAATACCGGATTTAAAGTATTGGCCAACAAATCAGGATGCGAAACCCATTTTCATTCAACCAGAGTTAACTGTTCTGCCTGGATCAAGCGAACAAAGGTGAAGATAATTTCCTCTTCAGAACATGAAATGAGAAACAGGTGTCTTCTTATACCTTACATAACTTTTAAAGGAAACTGACGCATTCATTTTTCAAACAAAAGGCATGGATTAGTTTGACAAGTTAAACCATGGTTTTGCTGGATGCTTGGAATCTTAACCAGGGTAAGGCAACAAATGGTCATCAGCAGGGTTAAGGTAAAGGGACCTCTGACCATTAGGTCCAGTCGTGGCCGCCTCTGGGGTTGCGGCGCTCATCTCGCTTTATTGGCCGAGGGAGCTGGCATACAGCTTCCGGGTCATGTGGCCAGAATGACTAAGCCGCTTCTGGTGAACCAGAGCAGCACACGGAAACGCCATTTACCTTCCCGCCGAAGCGGTACCTATTTATCTACTTGCACTTTGACGTGCTTTCAAACTGCTAGGTTGGCAGGAGCAGGGACTGAGCAACGGGAGCTCACCCCCATTGCGGGGATTCGAACCGCTGACCTTTTGATCGGCAAGTCCTAGGCTCTGTGGTTTAACCCACAGCACCACCCACTACAGCTAATGACCAATATCTGAACACATCAGACCACTTTGCAATAGAAGGTCTAAAGGGAGGAGGCCTTTACAATGAGGTCTATGGGAAATGGGAGGGGTGTTGGAAGGTTTGGCAAGATCCAGGGGGTGGACCATTTGGTGAGGACAATTGCACTGTTCCCACCCACTACTCCCAGCGATTGGGAATTCTCGGTAGTGGGCCTTCTCGGTAATGGCACCCACCCTATGGAACGCCCTTCCATCAGATGTCAAGGAAATAAAAAACTTTCTGACTTTTAGAAGACATCTGAAGGCAACCCTGTTTAGGGATGCTTTTAATGTTTGATGTTTTTAATACAGTGGTGCCTCGCAAGACAAAATTAATTCGTTCCGTGAGTTTTTTTGTCTAGCGAATTTTTCGTCTTGCGAAGCACGGTTTCCCATAGGAATGCATTGAAAATCAATTAATGCATTCCTATGGTCAAAAAAAGTCCAAACAAAGCCAAATTTGGTACAACAAGAGTTTATTAAGTGCTCTTTAAAGTCACACATACTGTAAAGGGCATTTCAAAATTCAAACCCAGAAATTTTTTTAAAAAACAGCAGAGTGCCCCAATGGTCACAGAAAATCATAAAAATGCAGGAAAAAAACACACAAGGTTCCAGATTCTTGCAAACCCCTCCCCAACTGTTCCCCCAGTCACCCAGCACACAGAAATTCAAATCCAGAATTTTTTTTAAAAAAAAAACAGCAGAGTGGCCCAATGGTCACAGAAAATCATAAAAATGCAGGGAAAAAAACCACAAGCTTCCAGATTCTTGCAAACTCCTCCCCAACTGTTCCCCCAGCCACCCACCACACAGAAATTCAAACCCAGATTTTTTTTCGTCTTGCGAAGCAAGCCCATAGGGAAATTCGTCTTGCGAAGCAGCTCGAAAAACAGAAAACCCTTTTGTCTTGCGAGTTTTTTGTCTTGCGAGGCATTTGTTTTGCGGGGCACCACTGTATTCTGTTGGGAGCCGCCCAGAGTGGCTGGGGAAACCCAGCCAGATGGGCGGGGTATAAATACATCATCATCATCATCATTCAGAAGAATGGTGAAGGTAGAACTTAACCAGCAGAGTTAGCAGCCTTGCCCTCCATGAATGTGTCTAATTCTCTTTTAAAACCTTCCAACATTTCATTTCTGAAGTTTCCAAACCTCTCATTTTCATCAGCCCCTGACTGAAGGAATATAAATATGTCTATGTTAGATGGGAACCAGAATGAATTGGGGGGGGGAGGGGATGTGTTGAATGAGAAGGGTGAAATGACCTTCAAGGGTACACCCCCACCGAGTTCAGTCCTCCACTTCTTTGAGATTGGGAGTAGCCTCCCTATCTGGACATTGCTATGGATTATAACCAGTTGCTGTATTTGGAGTTGGGGAGAAAATTTTCCCCTCAAGTAAATTGACCAAACTGGAGTTTTTTGCCTGCCTCATGACAACTGTCACAGCTTTGGAGGGTAAGGCATTGGGTGACGCCTTAGTCGTGTTTGGAGGGGAAGCTGTAAGCCTCTGCCTGCACCTCCAAGGAAACGGGGCCTTCTGTTAAAGAGATCTTGGAGGAGCTGCTACTGTCTGAATGACCAGACAGGGGCTAGGGCCACAACTTTCTTCCAAAAGGTCAACCAAGTATGGTAGCACCTATTTGATGTACAGTGGTACCTCGGGTTACATACGCTTCAGGTTACAGACTCTGCTAACCCAGAAATAGTGCTTCAGGATGAGAACAGAAATCGTGCTCCGGCGGCGTAGCAGCAGCAGGAGGCCCCATTAGCTAAAGTGGTGCTTCAGGTTAAGAACAGTTTCAGGTTAAGAAAGGACCTCCGGAACGAATTAAGTACTTAACTTGAGGTACCACTGTACAGTCGTAACTTAGAAGTCGAACGGAATCCGTTCCGGAAGTCCGTTCAACTTCCAAAATGTTCGAAAACCAAATCACGGATTCTGATTGGCTGCAGGAAGCTCTTGCAGCCAGTCGGAAGCCATGGAAGCTCCATCAGACATTCGGGTTCCAAAAGAATGTTCGCAAACCAGAACAATCACTTCCAGGTTTGCGGCGTTTGGGAGCCAAAACATCCAAGTTCCAGGGCATTCAGGATCCAAGGTACTGTATGTCATAGGACATCCTCAATGTTGGTTCAACCTCTGGGCAGGCTGGTTTATATAAGTTACACCCAGGGCTTCTTTCTCAGGGGGAACTCACCAGAAGTCAGTTCCTGGCACCTCTCAGGTGGGTAACATTGCCATTTTAAGTGAATGAGGGAGGTGTTCATCGGTAGTTCCAGCACCTCTCTTTCTAGAAAAGCAGCACTGGTTATTTCCAATGCCTAAGCCAAAACTCCTTATATCCGCAATCAATAAAGCTGTCGCCTAATTTGAACCAAAGGACTGTTGCCAATAGCAGCCATTCAACTGCACTGCACAGAGTGGGGTGGAAGGATCACATCGTCTGGGCATGCAGTTCCCTTGGTTTATTTCCAAGACTGAGACTTATTTTCCTGCTGCCTATGATAGCAAGATAAGTGGCTGCTCTCTTTTTCAAAAGAAACCTTCTGTAAGCACACGGAAGTTAATCTATCAGTCTTGGGAAATTATAGGGCAAGGTGATGGCTGCACTCCAATGGCCCCATACGACACTTATCTCACAGAAACCTCTTTGAAACCTGAAAGCTCAGCCAAGATTAACATATGAAAGTCTTTGTTGAGAAGTGACATGGAACATGACATTCTTTTTTTAAAATGAGTTTCTCTCATACATACCGTTGTATAGCTTCATTGTGTCTGCTGTCAGAAACTTCTTTACGACAAGATATGCACTGCTGGGGTTAGGCAAATAACTCCAATGGAGAATTTGCTCTAGAACATTCTCAGTATAATGCAAAGGTCGTTCTGGGAGGGGCAGAAAAAAGCCGTAACTAAATAAGATTAAATTCTTATTTCCATTTGCCATAGCTTCCGTTGTGGATGTTGCTATATCACGGAAGTCAAATTACGTATTCTGGCCGGCACAACTATGTCAACACAACTCTTACATCTGTCTATACATTGCACCTGAGCTATTTGTACATAAAATATACAGCCCTCTTCTCTGTTTAAATCAGGGGTCAGCAAGGTCTATCTTGCATGAAGTACATTCACTCCTGTCTTCATAGATTACGTAGACCAGCTGTGATAGAGAGAATCACACAGTTACAATGTTGACTTAGGAACTACCATATTTTTTGCACCATAACACTCACTTTTTTCCTCCTAGAAAGTAAGGGGAAATGTCTGTGCGTGTTATGGAGGGAATGCCTATGGGTGGCGGGGGGATCTGATGCAGTCGTGAGCAGAGGATCCATGGTTCCCCTTCCTTCCCTCCTCCGTGGCTCGCTTTGAAACAGCAAAGCGGGAGAAGAGCCGCTGAGTGGGGAGGAGAAAGGGACAGAGAGCCTGCTTCTTTAAAAGAGCAAAGCGGGAGAGGAGAGGAGCCGTTTACATGAGTGTAAGCGCCTCCTGTCCGGTTGGTTCCTTTAAAGCAAGCAGGCTCTCTGTCCCTCTCTCTTCCCCACTCAGCTCGCTACATAGCAGCAAAGTTTTTCAGCTTGCTAAGCCGGGGATGAGTGGGGAGGAGGAAGAAAAGCAGAGCCTGCTTGCTTTAAAGGAGCAAAGCGGGAGAGGAGCCTTCTCCCCTTATACCCCTCTTCTTCATTATTAGCAGCATCCTTCTCCACCCACCCCACGCGTGCTCCTTGTCCCTTGAGTGCTTTTCCTTCCCTCCCCACTTAAAACGTGGTTACAAAGCATGGATCCTCATGGATCCTCAGGATTTTTGCACTGGGTCACCCCAAATTCACCATCAGATCACATAGCATGTCCATGGCTACATCTTGCACCAAAAAAATCATGCACCCACTGTTGCCTGGGGCCGCAGTGGTGCAAAAACGTGGTTACAAAGCATGGATCCACATGGATCCTCAGGATTTTTGCATTGGGCTACTCCAAACTCACTGTCAGATCACATGTCTGTGGCCACAGCATGAACCACAAAAATCATACATCCACTGTTTCGTTTAGAATATTTTTTTTCTTGTTTTCCTCCTCTAAAAACTACGTGCGTGTTATGGTCGGGTGCGTGTTATAGAGCGAAAAATACGGGTATATCCTAAAAATCAGGTGTTGACATAAGGGTTGCAGAAAGAAAGAAGGGGGCCATAATATAGCAATAATGTCTCCTTTGCTACTTGCTCCCCCTCCTAGAAATCACTTTTATTTCTTAGATGTGAAGACACGTATGCGTGCAGCTGCCCATGTAATCGAGGACCAGACCTGAAGATGGGATCCTGTTCTACATGCAAAGCCTGCCTGAGTAATTAAGAGGCCTTATTAGAACCAAGTGTTGAGACTACACAGACTCTTCTCTTCAGGCCTTCTCCCTGTGTGCATGGACAGTGGGGAAGGACAGCGGATAACTCACTAGCTGGACCATCACCTTGTCGTGGTGAGAGGTCTTGCACATTCCTATGACCCTTGTGAGCAAAGCCACAGGGAGTATCGTACTCCCAGCAGGGTCACCCAAGGTGGTAAGGTCAAAGGGGAAGAACTAGACAAACAATGATCCAAGAAGTCCTCAACGGCAGAAGAGGCGGAGGATAATAAGTGCTATGTTGCAATGGCTGTGAAGGCGGATGAAGGCCGCAGCAGATAATAATCTACCCATCATCATGATACTCATGCCTTACTGTGAAGACTGTGCGTTGGTCAGTGTGCACTGATCTCCACACATAAAACAAATTCATGCACAGGTGTCTTTGCCTTTACCAAAGGTGTCACGGGCTTTGAAGGTACTCAAACTCGGGAGAAACGTGCTAAGAGGAAGGCACGCTTGGCAAACCCTCACCATTTTCAGTTCCTGCCCGGAAACCTATGTCCCCACTGTGGAAGGACGTGTGGGTCCAGAATTGGCCTCCACAGTCACCTACAGACTCATTGTTAAAACTGTGTTCATGGAAGACAATCTTACTTGGCTACAAGGGATCGCCAAAGAAGAAGACGGCAGCGAATGAGGAGGAGGAGCAGGGGTGCCATCTCCTTTTGGTGCCCCCAATAACATTGGGCCCTCTCCCAATGTTCAAAAGTAGCAGAGAAAGCCAAGGATGGAGCTGAGCATGGCACAGCGTCAGTGGCTGGCTCCTTCTCCTCCTCCTTCTTCCACAGAGGGATAGGAGCAGCCCCTGGTGGGTGGCAACAGCATCACCAGGAGCCATGGCCAATGAAGTCATGGTGCCACCACATTTGGCTCCACCTCGAGCTCCTCTGACATCCTGACGTCTCATGTGTGACATCACGTGCTGTATGATGTCATCACCCCCCACCCAGCAATTCTCCTTCGGAAACCAGCACGAGGAGGAGTCAGTGGACACAGTCAGGGAATTGTGTGAGCTAAAACACCCCAATAGGCCTTGTGACAATGGCTTGGTTCAAATGCCATGCTAAGCCAAGCCATGGCTTGGCATAAATATGGAAAGAGATTGCAGCCGCTCTCTGGTCATTTTGCTGCTGCTCTGAGCTAAGCCATGGTTTGGTTTGTCTGATCCTGGGTAAATCACAACAAATCAGACAAATCACGAACTGCAAACCATAGGACAAATCTTGGTTACTTTCGTACCTTGGTTGTCGAACGCCCTGGTACTCGTCCATTTTGGTTCCCGAAAGCCGCAAACCCAGAAGTGAGTGTTCCGGTTTGCAAATGTTCTTTGGAAGCCAAACGTCTGATGTGGTTTCCCCAGCTTCCGACTGAGTGCAGGAAGCTCCTGCAGCCAATCGGAAGCTGTGTCTTGGTTTCCAAATGTTTTCAGAAGTCGTACAGACTTCCAGAATGGATTCCGTTCGACAACTAAGGTACGACTGTATTTTGAGAGAGCCAAGCCACAAGTCCAGGTTGGGACAACATGCTAAGCCAAGTCATGCCTTAACTCAGCACAGAGCTCCAGCCGGGAAGGAGCAAAGCAGTTGTGATTTTCTTTCCATGAGCCCCCACACTGTGCTAAACCATGGTCTGGCTTAGCATGAAATGTAAACCAGGCTACATCCCAGTCTTGAGCTGGGATGCCACCCAACATGGCAATTCTCCAGCGAGTTCTTCAGTGTTTACAGGTCTTTACAACATAAAACACACACTCCCTTGTTGGCAGGGCAGAAAACTGATTATAGAATGAATTGTTGCATGTTTACACAGTAAAAGCTTCTGAAAAATTATAGCAGTTTTTGGAGGGGGGGTATTGCCTTAGGAGGAGTTTAAAAAAGGATAAATAAAGGGCTTTGTTTAACCCTTACAGCAGCTGTCTTCCAAAACCAGTTAAACTTAATGGCAATTAACTCTCACACAAATATAACATCTTATCTTCAGTTCCACCTTAAAGCAGAAGCCTCAGTAGAAAAAAGCAGCAAAACAAGACACATCCACTAAGAATGTGTGTGCTCCCAGAGCAAACACCTACTGCTTTATTTATAGTTGCGTTGAAGACCATCTGTCATAATGGATTATATGGTACATAAATCATCCTATTGAAATGCATTAGTTATTTTACTGGCAACACACCTCATTTGCAAACTATCCATCATATAGAAATTACTGCAGAAAAAAAATGAAAAAAAATTATATACTAGAGATCCCATTTTTACAGCAATCCCTCTGTATAAGACCAGATAATTTTGCCAATTATTTCTGCTGGTATATATGTAAATAATCCAGTTTATCTTTAATATTTCAGTTCCAATATTTCAGACATCTAAGCTGTCAAACTTACATATACCATTATTTTGCTCCCAAGGTCATTATGTGTCTTCCGGTAAACAGCAAGAGAGCTATTTGTTCCAATCCAACAATAAATATCAGACGGAAATTGCTTTCTTGAAAATGTAAGGTTTTAATATACTTCTCTTCTCAGAATTTGGTTTCAGCCAGTTAAACAAATTCTAATTTGAACTGAGATTCTTTTCTATTTTCTGTTTTTAATATTTAACTCCCCACAGAGCTGAATTGCACCTGAAGGTCGTTATGCTTGGTCCAAGGTCCTACTGAGATGCCTCAAGGTGGTATCACTTCAGAATGTAGATACAGAGGTACCTCGGGTTACATACGCTTCAGGTTACATATGCTTCAGGTTACAGACTCCACTAACCCAGAAATATTACCTCAGGTTAAGAACTTTGCTTCAGGATGAGATCAGAAATTGTGCTCCGGCGGCGCGACAGCAGCGGGAGGCCCCATTAGCTAAAGTGGTGCTTCAGGTTAAGAACAGTTTCAGGTTAAGAACAGACCTCCGGAACGAATTAAGTACTTAGCCCAAGGTACCACTGTAGAGGAATGCTGAGGTCCAAGATTAAATGTATACAGTGGGGTTTTTCTGGACCTCAGCATTCCTCTATCTGCATTCTGAAGTGATACCCTTAAGTACCCCCTGAAAAAAAGCACTGCATGTATATCACAGAAGTCATAAAGAAGTCAAGATGATATGGCCAAGGTAGCCCTCAGCACTGTGCAACAGCTCTGGGCAATCCAATTAGATTTAATATTTGCATTTATTCCAAAAAAATAATGTTCAAAACAAACTACCACAGCCTTTTATACAATGAAAACATCACAGAACGAATAAATACAGATATACAAAGACAACAGCCAAAAAAGGGAAGTCACAAACCTAGCTCTCCACTTTCAATCACTTCAAATGTAGCCCACATATCATCTTTATGGGGTGTGATGTTTTTTATTCCCAATATGTCATTTGTCAATTCTTCGGCTTCCATTATTGGCGATACCTGCATGGAAGACCACAAATAGTCCTGAAATCATTAAAATGGGCCCTAAGACCGTAAATTGTGCTGGAGGTTTATGCTCTCAGTCACAGGACAAAGACCTGCCCAACTTCTATGGCAAGGGCAACTGCAAAACAATGTTGATACATTTATCAATGTTTTTAGCCAATTCATCATTAACTGGGTAACAAAATATTGGAAAGGACTCATATTGTTTTAGAAAAACAGAGAGCATTCTTACCATAGCATTCTTACTTAATTAAACATTTCTCAAAGTCTAGAAGAAAAATTCTATCATAGGATTTCTGCTCATTTACTGCGTATTTCTCCTGGCTTTTAAAAGCAATTTCCCTCCTTTATTCTATATGCTTAAAGAATAATGGAAAGCGACAATATTTCATTTGGTATAAATAAATGGTTGAATTTTTGTTTTTTCAAAAAATTCCTAGTTGTATGGCTTGGGGAAATGACGTTTGGTTCACCATATGAGAACAAACTGGTATGCTTTTGCTATGTGTGTACATCCACGCATAGAGCACACTAAAGTCAGAAAGGAATAAATTTATTTTGCTTTCCAAAAGAGTAACTGTATTATTTATTATTATTATTATTATTAATAATAATAATAATAATAATAATTTATTATTTATACCCCGCCCATCTGGCTGGGCCTCCCCAGCCACTCTGGGCGGCTTCCATAAAAACCAAAAATACAATAAAATATCACATGTTAAAAACTTCCCTGAACAGGGCTGCCTTAAGATGTCTCTTGAATGTCAGGTAGTTATTTATCACTTTGACATCTGCTGGAAGGGCGTTCCACAGGGTGGGCGCCACTACCGAGAAGGCCCTCTGCCTGGTTCCCTGTAGCTTTGCTTCTCGCAATGAGGGAACCGCCAGAAGGCCCTCGGCGCTGGACCTCAGCGTCCGGGCAGAATGATGGGGGTGGAGACGCTCCTTCAGGTATACTGGGCTCAGGCCATTTAGGGCTTTAAAGGTCAGCACCAACACTTTGAATTGTGCTCGGAAACGTACTGGGAGCCAATGCAAGTCTTTCAAGACCGGTGTTATATGGTCTCGGCGGCCGCTCCCAGTCACCAGTCTAGCTGCCGCATTCTGGATTAGTTGTAGTTTCCGAGTCACCTTCAAAGGTAGCCCCACGTAGAGCGCATTGCAGTAGTCCAAGCGGGAGATAACCAGAGCATGTACCATTATTATTATTATTATAAAAAACACCTCTGTGTTGGGGTTTGAGAGCAACACCAACAAACCCATGGGTCTTGCTTCTGAGTAGATATTAGTAGGCATGGTCATTTTAATTTGACGGTAGCCATGGCGAAAACTGAAGAACGTCAGTCTTTAATCCAGATTAGTCAATCCTGAACAGTTTTCTCTCTGCTCATCATTGGGTCTCACCTGTGCCACACACACACACACACACACACACACACACACACACCCAACAGATTACCCATAGGTAAAGCAGTCCTTGGTAGAAAAAGGGTGCCACCCTGGGTTGAAAGAGTATAGAAAAATAAATGATCCAAACCCGTATTATAATGCTGCAGTCTGGCTCCTTTCTTTCCACATAAACTTCAATTAGCATGTCTCCTGCCTGGGAAACCTAGAATAGTATGTAAAAAATGGAAATGTTAAAGAGATAATCCAGACTCATGCTTTCCTCTTGCATGCAAATCTGAGGGGGGCACAGGGTATTCCCATACAACCAAACTCCACACCAGTGTTCGAAACTCCCACTGTTCTAGGTGTGTTTTGCGATGGGTAATTTCATTCATGCAAGCAGTTTCTGAGCTCTGGGTGCAGTACTGCGCCTAAGATTTCAGATTAAAACTGCAGAGTGGAAGGAAAGGAGGACCTTTTTCTGCCTTCCCACTTCCAGCTACTCTCTGAAGACTGGAGAAGAGACCCTCTTAAGAATATTAGGGGGTGGGCAGGGGAAGGACTAGACCATGTGAAAAATGAACATAATATTTTAGCCGCAGTTCAATCATTTTCAGCTTTGTATTGCGAGCCCATGCGCTAACCCCCCCAGCCCAGAATAAGGAGACACGACACAATGATGTATGGGGCAAATTAGACCACAACTTTATTGATTTCAGATGTAGGAAACCTTGGCTTAGGCACTAGAGGGCATCCCTCACATCCCCATTTGGATCTGAGGATGTGCAGGATGTGAGGGACACTGCAAAACGAGAAATTTACACAGCATGCCTCCCACTTCACCGATATTGGGAGTTCGATCTTACGACACCACTCCGGGCCAGTGACTCCCACAATCACCCTTTAACGGGCCCTGCAAACACCACCGCATGGGGGTGCATAATAATGCTCCCCCCCCATTCCGAAGACAGACTATAGGATACCGCCCAAGGCCTAAAATTGCCACCCAAGACCGTGCATGAGGAGACGGTCGGCAGGAGCCTGCCCTTATCTGGCCCTCGCTCCGCCCCCCAGCCAGCCACCGATTGGTCAGCCAGGTGGGGTGGGCGGAGTGATGGACAGCCCAAAGCTGGGGGTATCACCCAAGCTTGGGGAAGCCCACACCAGGTCACAAACCCCGCCCACCACTTGACATTCCATTGTTGCACCCATTGCGTGGTGAGTTCCCGCCTCCCCCTGAGGAAATAAAGACACAGGACACAAGAATTCAGATTAATGGGTCGAATTAGGCCACAACTTTATTGATTACAGGAATTGAGCGGTATTGGCTTAGGCATTGGTCCTAACTACTAACCGGCTTGAAGGCCGGGAGGGTTAATCACCAGTGGGAGGAGTCCTGCTAAGGCATGTCAACTAGGACCTCCCCCCGGTGTCACCGTGTGGGGGCGTGCCGTGGGCCCACACCTCCTTAGGCTTAGGACAAGGCCACGTCCCCCAGAATCCCTTACCGGACTACCTTTTTGTTTAGGGGAAGGTGATGGCGCTCCTTCCCCCTTCATTTGCATAACAATAGGACAGTGCCCCCGCCAACGCCTAACCGCCACTCGAGCCAGGCTCGCTGCCAATACCCTCAAACCTGTAACCAATCCCTAATTCCTGAAATAATATCGCTCAGCCAAACATCATTTCCCGCATTGGAAAGATGCACACCATCATCTCTGTAGAGGGCCACCTTGGAGCAAGGGAAAGAGAAGGAGCCTCGGCTGCAGCAGGCTTAAATAGCCAAGGCCCTGCCCCCGGAGCCAGCCAATTGGCTGGCCCGGGGTATGATGCGGCCGGGGATTCCCTCTGCTATTGCGGGGGCTGGAGCCAGCCCCCGCAAGAGTGGGGGAGGAGCGTGAAGCCCTCAACCCCACCACCTATGTTATCGCGGAAGTGGCTTAACCTAGGTTTAAGGTGCTATTCAGCTCTGAGCTTTCATATCTCAGTTTCTAACACTGCTCCACACGCAATGTTCCTTTCTTATACATGGTAAACTGAGCTCATGTGACTACATCTGTTGCCACATTTGGGGCACAGATTTGATATAGGTCTTGGGCACCCTTTCCCCATATGTGGTTTACCCTTAGATGCACTTCCAGAAGATGGGCTGGAGTGGAACAGCAATGGCTCTACCCAATGTCAATGCCAAACCGTTCTCTACTGTAACTAATGACGTTGTGGCCATATTCAAGCCCAGACCACCCAGTATGCTGTTGTCCTGTGTGGTTATTCAACTCCTTAGGGAACTGTGGGGTCACACAAGCCCCTCATCACCAAAAACCTCAAGGAGGAGGAAGTCTCTTCCTGACAGGATGTAGAATTTCAGGGAGGAAATCAAACTACACATGCGAAAGAATGGAGGAAGACAGGATTTCCTATTCACACCACTATTAGTTTCGACCAGTTCAGATTGTCAGGGGTGCTCATTTGGTAGAGTATGCAGGAATGTTAAGTCTGACCCCCAAAAACTCCACACATGTAACAAATTGTGGGTGATGCCCAACATGAGAGTGGGGGATTGTTACAGTGCACGAATTGGGGAGGGTAAATTTCCTATGGAATCTATCTGTGCTTCTAGGATTCTAACTGCATCTAATGGAAACAATGAGACTTTATTTAGAGGAATTTTCTGTAGAAATACTGCATTTTCTGCAGCTAAATCCACAACATCACTATGTTTGAAAGAGTCACATAATGGAGAAATTAGGACTTTAAGGTCACAGTGCCTTCTGAGAATTGAAACTAATGGAATCATTTGCGAGGGGGGGGGAAACATTACAAAGCGACTTTGAAGAAAGCTTCTTAATTATACTGGCAACGATTCAGAAAAAGCCTATTTCCTGGTGAAATTTGCTTTTTAGATGATATTACGGGGGAAAAGGTTGGAGGAAAGAATGAAATTGACATTTGATTTCCACTGGGCGTATGTAAACAACTGAGCATTCGAGGAAGGAAAAAAATGTGTTGCAAATTAAGGCAGCAAACAAAAACAGCTGGCAAAGTGTTTGGTGGGCAGGGAAAAAAATGAAGAACCGTTAACGAAGTGCCAACTGGAACGGAAAACAAGGTCATCGTAAGTGACATGAGAAGTAGGAGATTTTTCTTTGAGTTGAAATAGAAGTTTGGGCTAAACGAGTTTTATTTTTAATTTGGTTTTCTATTTTTAATCACTCTGAAGATAGATTTAGTGCTCCTACCAGACAAAAAACTGCTGTTAATTTTCGTATTGCCAGCTGCTTTTCACTTCTATACAGATAGGTGCTGTATAAAATGTACTGTAACATCTATATACTTTTATTTTTGACTTTTGAAGGTTAACAGAGAAGGTTGGCTCATGCAACCAACACACAGATGCATCCCCTGAATAGTTTGCATAAAACAGCTGGATATTGGCTCCATTCTGACTTTCTTTTTAAAATAGATAATGCCACATACAGAGGCAGATCACTGCTCCATTTAGCTCAGTATTGTTGAAACCATCAGGGTTTGAGGCAAAAGTCAGTCCCACCCCTAACTGCCAATCCGCTTGCAAAATATTTGCCTTACTGCTGAGTGACCGCTCTTCCCCTGAACAAGGAAGGAAACATCATTACTCACCTGAGTATCCTTCCATTTGGTAATAAAGCTATTTTCAATATCCATTTGTTTCACCTGATCTTCATGCACCTGTTCATAAAAAAATGGCAATATTGGTGCCTCTATTATTTATTACTACCACTACTATTACTACAATTTGTATGCCAACTTTCAAGCGTAGATCTCAGGACAGTTCACAACATAAAAATACAATTAAACAAACACACATAATAAAAAGAAGAGCAGAAACAAACCAATAATCCCCCCTCCCAAAACAAATTTAAGGGTATCGGATGCCAAGGCCTGGTTGAAGAAGAATGTTTTCACCAGGCGCCTAAAATTGTATAATGAAGACGCCAACCAAACTTCGCTGAGGAGAGCATTTCAGAAATGGGGAGCCACTGCAGAAAAGGGCTGTTCTCATGTTGCCACCTTCCTCTCCTGGAGGAAGCACACAAAGAAGGGCCTCGGATGGTGGTTGCAGGGTCTGGGTCAGTTCAGATGGGGAGAGGCAGTCCTTGGGGTATTGTGGTACCAAGGTGTTTAAGGTTTAATAGGTCAAAAGCAGCACTTTGAATTTGGCTCAGAAACTAATGCGCAGCCAGGGCACTTGGGCCAGGATTGGTATCATATGCTCAAACTTTCTTGAGATAGTGGCTGCCAAATTCTGCATCGGCTAAGTTTCCTGAACTGCCTTCAGAGGCAACCCTATATATAATGCATTGCCCACAGACTGTTTCGCCAGTGGTGCATGCTCTAGTTATCTCCCTCTTGGACTACTGTAATGTAATCTATGTGGGGCTACCTTTGAAGGTGACCTGGAAACTATAATTGATTTAGAATGTGGCAGCTAGACTGGTGACTGGGAGCGGCTGCTAAGACCATATAACACTGGTCCTGAAAGACCTACATTGGCTCTGGTACGTTTCCGAGCACAAAGTGTTGGTGTTGACCTTTAAAGCCCTAAACAGCCTCGGCCCAGTATACCTGAAGGAGCGTCTCCACCCCCACCGTTCAGCCCGGACACTGAGGTCCAGCGCCGAAGGCCTTCTGGCGGTTCCCTCACTGTGAAAAGTGAGGTTACAGGGAACCAGGCAGAGGGCCTTTTGGGTAGTGGCGCCCGCCCTGTGGAACGCCCTCCCATCAGATGTCAAGGAAATAAACAACTATCTGACTTTTAGAAGACATCTGAAGGCAGCCTTGTTTAGCGAAGTTTTTAAATGTTTGATGTTTTATTCTGTTTTTAATCTGTTGAGACCTGCCCAGAGTAGCTGGTGTATAAATAATATATTCTATTATTATTATTATTATTATTATTATTATTATTATTATTATTATTGCGGTAATCTAACCTTGCACCATTCCTAATACAATAAAACAAAACAATTGAAGTGGCTGTGTCACTGCAAGGCACACCAACTTTAAAAGTGAGGAAGACAGTGCCCTGGCCTACACATAGTGGAGGAGACATAATCTGAAAATAATTCTTCAGGGATGCTTCGTCCATGTTGCTATTATCAGGTGGGGTTCAATCGCATACTGGCCAACCACATTGCACAATTACAGTTGCACAACAAGGCCGCCTCTCCCACAGATTGGACATTTGGCAATAAGGAAAGTGATGAGGCCATGTACTGGAAAGTGTGGAATAACACTTGATGCAACTTCATCTAACCTCCCCACAAACAAATCAGAATGAATGCTTATTAATGGCTGACATCATCTAAACTCCCTGCAAAGAAATCGAGATAAATGTTCAATCAACAGGTTGTCTGGAAGTGCCGTTAGGCACAACCAGTGCTTTTTTCTGGGGGGACACAGGGGTACGCATACCCCTAAACATTTTATGAATTAAGTTTGGCTTCATTGAGGGGCAATATTTCAATATGAGTAGGAAAATGAGAGTACCCTTAAACATTTTTTTTAGAAAAAAACAACACTGGGCACAACCAATGCCAGGATTGGTCTGCTAATTTTGTCCCCACACCCATCTACTGTCCCTATACTTGGTGCCTTCTTAGCATCCTTTTTCTGTGAAAAGTAAACAACTGTGATAATAGTTGTAACTGAGACTATTCCCTATGCTAGTTTTCTATCTACAATGAGTTTTGATACAAAAATGTGGGTCTGCCACAGAGTTGGGGGAACTTTGGTCCTCCACCTGTTGCCTGAATACAGTCGTACCCTGGATCCCAAATAACTAGGTACTCGGGATGTTTTGGCGCCCGGACACCACAAATCCGAACGTTTGATGGGGCTTCCATGGTTTCTGATTGGCTGCAGGAGCTTCCTGCAGCCAATCAGAAGTCATGCTTAGGTTTCGAATTCAAACAGACTTCTGAAAGAGATTCCATTCGACTTCTGAGGTACCACTGTACAGCTCACACCTTCCATCACATTTGACCACATTGCCTGGTGGGAGATAGCAGCCTTTCATCAGCTAGAGAGCTACCGATTATCCCTACAGCCTGAAGAACAGGCGCAGACCAGGACAACTTGAGGAAGCCAGAACTGAACTAGCTACTGAAACGTTTCACACAGTTTAAATATACATAATTCTAAAACGCACACCTGTGTGTATTCGATAAGTTTAACCACACCACATTAAAAAAATATAATAATGACAATACCTTTCAGGGAGTGAAGAGCTGATCCCAGGTGAGCTAAGGGTTTTCCCCCAGCTGTGAGTGTTTTTACACATTTTGAGCAGAATCTCTACCAGGAAATTTTCAAAAATAAGTCGCATGAAAACAAATGGCAGCTGTGCACGATCATAGCTAATAGTGCTCTTGTACAGCTCTCATTCATTTTCATAGGAATTGCACAAGCAAATATCCTGGTGAATTGCGCGCCCTGTTCTTATGCATTTGATTTTTATTGCTGCCTGTTTTACTGTGATCTCGCGTTCCAATGTTTATATTAGAACATTAATGTGGCCCATAGGTCATCTCGCTGGTGTAATTAAAGTGCAGAGGAAAATCTGTTTATCCCCCCTCCAGGCATTTCAAATTGACGTGCAGGTATTTTAGCTGTTGCCTTTTTTTTTGGTACGGTTTTATCGCTGCTGCTTTTATTGTTGTTTTATGGCATCTATAAGTTATATATCACTTTGAGTACCTTTGCCCAGAGGCAGAAAGGGAATTAACAAATTTTCTAAATAATAGATTTTTATTCCTATTTCACAGTGAAACAATTTGAGGGCCCTATCAGACCCAAATGCAGATGATGATGATAATGATTCGGAAAATAAACAGAGTAAAATTGATGTTCACGCTAAAGGATTTACAGTGCAATTTTGACCCCCTCCTGAAGCACAGCTGAAGGGAATTAGGGTGGAACATACATGCAACTCCAGCACCTCCACTCCAAAGACTCTGGAAAGCTCTGCAGGTGTCAATCTACCAACACTAATGTTCCCTTGTTCCCATAGCACATCCACGGACTGGGTCTCCAACCACCATAGGTATTTTAACTTCCTTTGGTGGTGTCAGTGGAAGGAACAGTATTAAAAATGAATTAGTAACTGCTGGGGGTGGGGAGAGTGGAATTAAAAAGCCACCACCCCAACTTCTGCCCTGGCCTATGTAATAAATAAATAGTAATAGTAATAGTATGGGACGCGGGTGGCGCTGTGGGTTAAAGCACAGAGCCTAGGACTTGCCGATCAGAATGTCGGCGGTTCGAATCCCCAAGACGGGGTGAGCTCCCATTGCTCGGTCCCTGCTCCTGCCAACCTAGCAGTTTGAAAGCATGTCAAAGTGCAAGTAGATAAATAGGTACCGCTCCGGCGGAAGGTAAACGGCGTTTCTGTGCGCTGCTCTGGTTTGCCAGAAGCGGTTTAGTCATGCTGGCCACATGACCCGGAAGCTGTACACCGGCTCCCTCGGCCAATAAAGCGAGATGAGCGCCACAACCCCAGAGTCAGTCACGACTGGACCTAATGGTCAAGGGTCCCTTTACCCTTTACCTTAATAGTAATAGTAATAATTGTACCTTGCCCTGGCCTGACTGGCCTGCCCCAGCCACTCTGGGCGGCTTCCAACATACCGTATTGGCCTGAATATAAGCCTCACTTTCCCCCCAAATTCCGACAGTGAAAAGTGTGGCTTATATTCGCAACCTTATGGTATGCAGCCAGGAGCACGGCGAACTGTCGCCCACCCCATGCGTAATCCCCCATCCTCTCCCCCAAGGCCAGAAAGTAAGAGAGTGAGGAAAGGTAAAGGCCACTGGCAACACAACGTTGATTCCCCCCCTCCTCCCATATGCAGCCAGGAGCATCAAGGAATTTGTAATCAGGTATTTTTTTTTTCCCTCCACCAATTTTAAAGGTGCGGCTTATATTTGGGTGTGGCTTATATTCGGGCCAATACGGTGTATAAAAACATAATGAAGCATTACACATTCAAAAGCTTCCCTATACAGGTCTGCCTTCAGATGTCTTCCAAGGGTTGTTTATTTACTTATCTTCTTGACATCGGATGGGATGACATTCCACAGGGTGGGCGCCACTACCAAGAAAGCTCTCTATCTGGTTCTCTGTAGCTTCCCTTCTTGCAGTGATGGAACCACAAGAAGGCCCTTGGAGGAGGACCTCAGTATCCGGGCTGAATGCTGGGAGTGGAGACGCTTCCTTCAGGTATACAGGGCTGAGGCCGTTTAGAGCTTTAAAGGTCAGCACCAACACTTTGAATTGTGCTTGGAAACGTACTGGGAGCCACTGTAGGTCTTTCAGGACCGGTGTTATATGGTCCTGGCAGCTGCTCCCAGTCACCAGTCACTGCTGTGAATAATGAACTTTTTTAAAACAAAACAAAACCCTAACCCTCAGTTTTAAGCAGCTGTGGTTTGCTTCTGTCCATGTTCTTTAACTCTCTCTTTCCCTCCTTCTACTGTCTCCACTACTACTGCTTCTAATTTGTATACTCCTTGAGTGCAGGGACCTCTCAGTGTGCTAACTATATCATGGACAAGAAGATATACCTGCATATAGGTAATCTAAGATGACCATCAGATAGATCCCCCCCCTCAAGGGAGGACACTGGGTGCAACCCATAAGTTTAGGTTTAGCTGCTCTGAGTCAGTCTAACTTCAAAAAGAAAATGCTAAAGTCGAAATTCTTCAGATTGAAAATCAAAGAGAGAGATAACAGTGTTTTTCAGGCCTGCTGAAAGCATTTCTGAACAAGAGACAAAATGCTGTATAAGATGCCCCATTGCTGTTTTCAGCCATTTGCTAAATTATATTATTGGAGAAATCTGATAAATGTGCTGGTTACTTACATCAAAGAGATGCACATAATTTATAATCAGGTCTTCGATCACATCGACTTCTTCGCTGGTTTGCCCTTTGGTCTGAAACAAGCACGACGAAAACACCATGGCTAGATTGTGAGGATCCATGTGATTGATTTCCGAACACTTTTGTACCCTGCGCAAAGTTAATAAATCCATTTAGAAGGCTTCAGTAGGCATTGGCTTGTGTAAGGGAAGAATCCCACAACCCAACCCCACAACACAGCATGCATTTCCAACACAGCAGCTCAACTTAAAAGCAGGCATCCATTAAAATGAAATTATGCATCTCATTTTTTCCTAGATCATTAACTCACCATTCTCTTGCCACCTGTTCTTACACAAACAGATTGTTCTGCCTTTACACAAACAGATTGTTAGAGTATGGTGAAGTTGCTCCCTCCAGCTAGGCCAGGGTACAGGACTGTTTGAAACAGTGAACAAGCCAGCTGCCTTGGGAAGGTCAGAAGCAGAGCAATATTATGCAAAACACCAAAACTAGTTGCTTCTTCTCCCCATCTGGCAATCAGGGATATACTCTAGAGGGACGTAGAGTCCACCTTCTGACCACCGGCTATCTTATTCAGCAAAGGGGACACGGGTGGTTCTGTGGTCTAAACAACTGAGCCTCTTGGGCTTGCCGATCAGAAGGTCAGCGGTTCGATTCCCTGCGACGGGGTGAGCTCCCATTGCTCTGTCCCAGCTCCTGCCAACCTATCAGTTCGAAAGCACACCAGTGCAAGTGGATAAATAGGTACTGCTGCGGTGGGTAGGAAAATGGCGTTTCTGTGTGCTCCGGCTTACATCACGGTGTCCCGCTGCACCAGAAGCAGTTTAGTCATGCTGGCCACATGACCCAGAAAGCTGTCTGTGGACAAATGCCGACTCCCTCAGCCTGAAAGCTAGATGAGCGCCGCAACCCCATAGTCGCCTTTGACTAGACCTAACTGTCCAGGGGTCCTTCACCTTTACCTTTTTTTACCTTATTCAGCAAACAAACACTGCCACCACTAAGCTTGTGAGATTTCACCTTCACAACTAGAAGGGCTAGGAATTTTTGTAAATAAAATCAATGTGGAAATCTCAGAAAGTGGACTTTTCCCCATTCAATAGTATATTTGTATGAAACTACTCCATACATAGTCCTGGACTTGTAGAATATTAATAGTGACACAGATTGAAATTCCCAATTCCCAGACAGCTAACTGATGTCACTCCAATGTCAGCTACCTCCAAATTTGAGAAGCAGTATATGTGGGGCTGCCACCGAAGACAGTTTGGGACATGGCAGTTAATTCAAAATACAGATGTTTGGGCTTTGTGAATAAATACACATCAGCAAGTGAAATGAACCAGCATCTGGAAGTTATCAGTTGCTATCAGTTGCTATGGATTGGATTGTCATGGCTAGCAGTGACAGAGCATAGCGCCGAAGAGCTGCGAACCAGGAAGCCGCCAGGTTAAAAATTTGCCTCACCCATGAGTTCCCTAGATGGCCTTATGCAAAGTACTATTCTCAACCTTCAGGGGTGACTACCATTGTTTACGTAGCCCAAACATCACCAGCTGTGCACAAGAGAAAGATGTTGGCAGAAACTGAGGGCCTGACTGACAGAAGTACTGCAACAGCTTATTATTACTTATTACAGTTAATAAAATATTATATTTTATAATATAATAATATGTCATATAATACATTGTGCAATATATTCACACCATTGCCTAAGGGCTGTTATAAGAATTCTAAGGTCTCAAATAGAAATTAAACATTCATAAATGTACAAGGCAAGCACATACAAAAGTATATAAACCACGTGTCTGAAATAGTACAGGAGAACAATCCTGAAGCCATTTTGACTCTCTCTGCAAGGAGGAAGGAAATGCAAAAGCCTCCCCATTGTCTTTTGCTTACAAATCCTGTCTTGTGTATGAATAGAGTGAGCCTGTGACCTGGATTCAGGAACTAAAGTATTTACCATCACAAAAGAATGACCACGCTGCCCAGGTAAAGCAATCAGTGACCATTTTCAGGTATGCTGGCAGACAGGATTTCTGCTGTAGACCGCCTCTTTCTGTGGTGTATGTATGATGTTTTGGGGTGGTGGTCTTGGGCTACAGGGTGGGCAATTTCAAAAGTCTATATAAGGGCTTGCACACCTTTGTTCTCCTCCCTCCTGCATGTTTGTGAGTGGGGACCCTGTTGCAACAGTTCTTTGAGTAAAGATCATGCTTACTAGCTGCTTTGCTTCTCAATATACTCTGGTTGGCCTCTGTTATTTTCTCCTACCAATAGGGAACCCACCTAAGGACTGTATATGGGCTCTTGGATACCCCATCAGAGAAGAGGAGCAGTTTTTTTTTCTTATAACAGGGCTATCAGTTGCCAACTGGCTTGTGCTGATCCTCATCTTTAGTTGTCATCTGGTGATCCTGATTGCTAGTAATGTTTTGAGATTGCTTCTTGTGATTTTATTAACATATTTTGATGTTACATGGAAGCCCACCTGGAAAGATTTGCATTCTGCAAGGGAGGGGAAATGTCAACTATGATAATTCCCCCTTAGAGCATTCCAAGGATTCCTGAGATAGTATATAAATAAAATTTTGAACATTATCTGGTATATCTAACATTCATCTCTCCCCACAGACCTTTGACAAAGTTAAAAGAAGATGTATAAAGAGCTTTCTGTTATAATACCTTCTTTTCAGTAGATTTACCGACACACTGACCTGTAAAGGTGCTCCATTAAAGCTGCCAACGTCGCCCTATTGACTGGTGGAAGTGTTCGAATAAAAGTGCTGTACTTTTTCACTCTCTTTTTCTCATCCAGTGTATCTGATAGAGAAGTGGGAGGGGGGGGAAATTAAATTACCCAGCATTAACAGCAGTGCAATCCAAAAGAGAAAGATATTGATCCGCCATCTCAGCAGCATCTAGTCATTTAAGATTATTATTCAGCCAATCCACCCCTACTTCACCGACACAATATTGGTAAATTCTCTTTTGACGTGCTATGTTTGAAGGGAAACAATTTTGAGCACAAGGAGGTTACGCCTTGCAACTTTTGTATTCTTGTACTGCCTGCAATGAGTCGCAGGCTAAGTATCCATAAAGCAGATTCTTCTGTTTGCTCATGGATGCACTTAATGGGCAGAGCTGATTAAAATACAAATGGGCAAGACATACAAATAGGTAGAATGGAAAACTGAGTCTTTCATTGCTGGGAGCAGGTTACTTGGAGGTCACAATATTGATTGGAATACATCCCTCCTGAATGACACCATTAACAACTCAGATGGTCTAGTCCACAGTCTGAAAAATATGTTTTTTTCCTCCTCAGCTCGGTGTTTCCCCCCACTGTGCTTCTTTCAACAACCTGTTGTTCTAAAACGTGTTATACCCACTCGTCCCCATGTTCTGTTTACTGATAACCATATTTAATTAGAACCCACCCTTCTCCAAAGCTTAAAGGTAAAGGTAAAGGTACCCCTGCCCGTACGGGCCAGTCTTGACAGACTCTGGGGTTGTGCGCCCATCTCACTCAAGAGGCCAGGGGCCAGCGCTATCCGCAGACACTTCCGGGTCACGTGGCCAGCGTGACAAGCTGCATCTGGCGAGCCAGTGCAGCACACGGAACGCCGTTTACCTTCCCGCTGGTAAGCGGTCCCTATTTATCTACTTGCACCCGGGGGTGCTTTCGAACTGCTAGGTTGGCAGGCGCTGGGACCGAACGACGGGAGCGCACCCCGCCGCGGGGATTCGAACCGCCGACCATGCGATCGGCAAGTCCTAGGCGCTGAGGCTTTTACCCACAGCGCTACCCGCGTCCCAAAGCTTAGAGAGGGGCAAAGGCACTTATAAGCCCTGTGATGACATGGAAATGAATGAGACATCTCATTGCGTTTTGAGCCTCAATGAGGCTCAGCACAACATCAGAGAGAGCTCCCCAAAAAAATTCAGGCTTGGAAGGAGGACAGGGAGGCTCAGAAAACAGATGCAATGTCTCTACGGCTTCGTCGAAAACATGCAGCACATTACCTAATGCAGAAATCCAAAATGGATAGAGTTCTTTGGTAAGCAGTGCATCATCTATTTCGGACAGAAAGCATTTCAGCGCATCAGTGACATCTTCCAGCTGATTTGTCCCAGCCCTCAGCTTAACACTTCTCGCATCTTTTTTGAAGCACTCCAGAAGTTCATTCACACGAGAAGGATCCCCTCCTTTCAGGTAGATGTGTTTGCTACCCAGACCTTAGAGAAAGGAACACAAAATCACTTTCCAAAAAAAATGTAATTATGCCTTAAATCAGCGGTTGTCCACCTGGTCCCTACCGCCCACTAGTGGGCATTTCAGGATTCTAGGTGGGCGGTAGGAGGTTCTACAGCACTAGCTGAATCCTTCTTCCATCGAGCACTGGTGGGCGGTAAGGAAATTTTACCATCAAGAAAGATGTATTAGTGGGCAGTAGGTATAAAAAGGTAGACTACCCCTGTCTTAAATAGACCAATACTTCAATATAAAAATATGGTACAGTTAGAGGGGGAAAACACAATTTGAACAAATGGCAATACTTCAGGTTGCTCTGTATAATCATGATTTTAATACTGTATCACAGATTCAGTTAAGAGGCAGCAGCACAGAAGAAGAAGCTTTTACTGCATGTATAACCAGTGGTAAGAACATACACACAGGACCTCAAGAAGCTCCTTGTAAGGAGATGCTCTCTGCCTTCACTTGTACATTTTAGACACACACAGACACACACAGCCATGCAAATAACACAGTGCAACAGTGTGAACCTGTGACAAAGTGTGGTCTTTGCAAATAGCAGTTCAAGCCCAGCTAATGTAATCTGATATAGATGCTTCTTAAGTACTCTATCCGGATGCATCTCCAATTTTCAGGAACTTGAACAAATGCTCTGCTCCACTTACCATACTGCGTAACAAATGCAATACAGCTGTTCACTATAATCGGGACGTCATTTCTGCTGAGCTGCTGATCTTCTAACACGTTGCCATCTGTACCTGCTGCTTTTTCAATTGCGCTGTGCCAGACTGTGAAATCCAACTTTGTGTGGCCGTGGATGTATAATGTTCTGCAAAAAAAAAAAAAAAAAAAAGTTTTGGGAAAATATTTTGAAAGGAGCAATAAGAGGGTGAATGGAGAAAGCAATTCTTATTTTAGTGAAAAAGAGCAAGATGGATATCGTATGGATAGGTGAACACAGACCAACTGAACAGCTGGCCATAACCTAAGGCTGAAAACAGCCACAATGCTGCTTTTCTTGAAACACTCTCACTTTTGAGAGAATATTCAAAGAGAACATGAATATTTCTCCTCAGGGTTGAACTCAGATGATGGGGAGGGTGGAGTGAAATCACATATACTTTCATCCTCTTCAAAATTTGTCAGCTTCTTTGTGCAAACTTCTCCCAATAAACACATAAGCAGTGTTGATTAATAGGCATATTGCTGCAAGCAATTCCCCCTATTGTAATGCATTTTGGAAGGTTGTTTTCACAAACGTATGCATTTTATGGAGATTTTCCTCTAATATATGCATTGTGTACATACTGTTTGGATTTTAAAGGTTAACAGTTTGGTTCACATATCGGTTTGAGGATTGTGAGAAAGGTAGTCTCCAAAGTGTCCCAAGTAATTGCTGGAGGTGTGGATATAAATCAGGCAAATGTGGTGGCTATGTAAAAAAAATCCAGGCATTTTGGGAGCGTATCCACTTAGAAATACAAAAAATAATAAAGACTTCCTTTAAGAGAAAACCAGAAGCTTATCTACGGGGGATCACAGATTCGGATATCCCGCAAAAAATGAAGAGCATATTTTTATACGCCACAGTGGCAGCAAGAGTTCTTATCGCTACAAAGTGGAAGAGTGATGAAATCCCCTCTACCCATGAATGGATCCAAAAGTTAACAGATTATGCAGAGCTAGATAGTTTATCAGAAAAAATAAAGAACAAACCAAAACAGGAATTTATTTCAAAATGCTAAGTCTTCAAAGTTTATTTGGAAAACAACTACAGTGGTTTAAACTCGGTGGCAGCATTTGAATAACTTTAGTAGTAGATTTAAGAAAGATGTGAAATTTAAGATAAATCAATTATTAGTTAATTTAAGACAAAAATGTGTTTTGGCAACAAATAAGAGATAATTGAAACAAGGAATGGACGGGAGGTCGGGCCTATAGTCCAAGGACCGCTTTTTACTTTATTGATTTGTAATTAATATTGTCGTTATCACTGTTTTGTTTGTATTCTTGTCTTGTTTTTTTCCTTTCTTGAGTATCAAGAAAAGAAAAGAAAAGAAAAAGGTAGTCTCCCATGAAAAGACAAAATAATTTTGATTTTTCCCTCCAACCCTACTTGACATGGAATTTTGCATAAATGACAAAATGCAGTTTGGACAACAAAAGCTCTAAAAATCCATGCTTTTGATAAATTTACTCAATACTCCTCTTGGATATATAAGCTTTTATTGCCCTTCATTAAAAATGTATTATTTCCACATCATCTGCATTTGGGGGCTATTTTAAGCCTTTTGGATCATAGTACCCCTTGTAATCTTGCTGAATTTCACAATATCTACAGAGGCACAAAAATGAATCAATGGTTGAGAAGATTTAAGATGCTACATCCCATAAGATAGTATGACATTGTGCAGAATAGATACTCAGGAATAACTAAGTGAGATCATGAGCAAAAGTAAAGTATAATAAATATCCATCAAACAACTGAGGAAGTGAACACATGAAATTTTCTTTTCTTTTTCTTTTTACTCTGCCAATGTGTTTTCTGAGGAAATTCACCACTTAGGGTCAGGAAATGGAATCAACAATGGATTTAGTCCTGTGAGAGGGTGGGTGGGTGTGTAAGAGAGAGGGAGTTATTCAAGATGTATGTGGTTATTTATAAAGATCTTGTATCCAACTTACAATGTGATTCCAGCAACCGGTATAACTCTCTTCAACTGAACAATGCCTCAAGCTGCTTTGAATTCTGACAAGAAGTGTCAGGTGTCAGAAACAGTATAACCTCTGGAGAGCCTCTATCTGCTATAACTCCAATCCCCTCTGTGAAGTCTCCCCTCAGATTCTCCACCCCAGTCAAACTGGTTCGTTGAAAAAGTATTTCTCAGTACAACCAGCCAAGAGATGTGCTCGGTTTTAGATATGTGAGTCCTTTTCTCTACATGCACATCAATCTGGAAAGGGTACAGAAAACCTGACCAAGCTACTACATAAACCCCAATGTGACTCTTTCCAGAGCACCCATGTGTTGTAGTCAAACAGCTTCTACAGTCAAACCTCAGTTCTCGAACGGCTCCGTTTTTGAACTTTTCGGTTCCCGAATGCCAAAAACCCGGAAGCAAAATGCTCTGGTTTTCTAACGTTCCTCAGAACTCGAATGTCGGACCTCGGTTGCTGAACGTTTCGGAAGTCGAACGGTCTTCCGGAAAGGATTATGTTTGACAACTGAGGTTTGACTATATAGCTCAGTGAATAGCACTCTTGAACTTTATGAGAAACTGTTAGGCTGGCTGGTCACACAGTGGATGTAGGGAGAGGGAAAGCTTTTCGGTGGAGGGGAATACAGTTAGACTCCCAAGGCAGCCGCTGAAGTCAGATAACACTTATTTCTTTGCAAGGCTTTCCTTGCAAAGGGTTTCAGAAGGTTACTGAAGTGTTAGAGGAGCTTCTCTCCGAATTTCCAACATAATGCGCTGTTCCTCCCTTTCAAAGTCAAGCGTATGCAGCGTGAAAAGAAAAAATGCAGAAAAACAGGAGGATTTATCTTATGGGTTAAGAAAGAACTGAACAGAAACCTCAAATTACAGTTTTCAGATGTCCAACATTCACAGGAAATGGAAGGTCAGAAGAATTTCATTTTCTGACCAGAAAGCTGCTATGTATATGAAGAGAACAATGGAAGTTCACTTTTTGCAGTAAGAGATTTAGGCTGCATACATAATGTACATTTATATCACATATGCACCCAACAAATCCTAGGAGATGAGCTTTGCTAGGTTACTGGGAATTGTAGCTCTGTCAGGGATATGCTTCAGTTCCCAGGACGGGAAGATGTGCTTTAAATGTATGATGTGCATTCAACCTTTTAGGTGTGGGAAGGATTTAAAGTGCTGAAGAAAGGATTATATTAATTCTAATATTTATATTCCACCTTTCCTTCAAGGAACTCAAGATGGCATATATTTCTCTCCGCGCCACACACACACACAACAGATATTCTCACAGCAACCTTGTGTTAGATTGAGAGATGTCAGCTAGTGAACTTCATGGATACTTGGGGATTTGAACCTGTTTCTCTACCAGACATTTTAGCTACACAACAACAACAGCTCTCAAGAAGCCATTTTGTAGCAATAAAGCAATTTGGTCCACCTTTTATTCAAAGTTATCCAAAATATAATTCAAAAGCAAAAGCTTTTGAATTATGGTGCTGGAGGAGACTCTTGAGAGTCCCATGGACTGCAAGAAGATCAAACCTATCCATTCTTAAGGAAATCAGCCCTGAGTGCTCACTGGAAGGACAGATCCTGAAGCTGAGGCTCCAATAATTTGGCCATCTCATGAGAAGAGAAGACTCCCTGGAAAAGACCCTGATGCTGAGAAGGATTGAGGGCACAAGGAGAAGGGAACGACAGAGGACGAGATGGTTGGATAGTGTTCTCGAAGCTACCAGCATGAGTTTGACCAAACTGCGGGACGCAGTGGAAGACAGGAGTGACTGGCGTGCTCTGGTCCATGGGGTCACGAAGAGTCGGACATGACTAAACGACTAAACAACAACAACAACAACATCCAAAATATACACCTCAGCCAATACACGTTCCATGCATTATACCCACTGAGTTTAATACCCATTCCAGCAACACCTTCATAGTTCCAAAACAAGAAGCTATAAAGCCTACACACACACACACACACACACACACACACCTCCTAATAATTAGACTGGCTGCAGCATTAGAAGGTGGTTTTCATTTTGCTAGGTTCACAAAAACAGACATTACAATTTGCATAGCAAAAAAAGTGCAGCTGAACACAAGACAAATCTCAGCAATGTCTACCTCAGGGCAGCATTTTAGAACTTCTCTGTCGCCTGCCCCAACGGGACTCATTAACATCAGGTATGTGTCGCGTATTCCACGCGGCGTTTTCAGCAAAGCATTAAGAGTTCCAGGTTTTTTTCAGTGCAGTCCTTTTTAATGTGAGCTATATACAGGCATTTACAAAAGAAACAGTCCATACAGAGTACTTACAAACGAATACTCTCCACCACAGCACCACCACACTACAGCACAACCACCACACTACAGCACAACCACCACACTCACTGTTAAACAGGCTTCCCTTTTTAAAACAGGTGATAGCCAATTACACTAATCACACTCTTGCTGAGTCACTCTGACCCAGCAGAGTATTGCATCATCCTGTTGAAGCCTGCAGACTTATCCAGTATCCTGCGAATCCCAACACTTCTCCTTAAGTCAAAGGCTTGAGACCTAATAATTCTCTTAAGTCTTGAAATTTAGGAGCATCCAAACATTTTGTATACAAATCTGCCACATTACATTTTGTGTTACAGTGCTGTACCTTTAACACATTTCTTTCCAAAGCATTTTTCACATTTCCGTATCTTATCGCAATATGTTTACTTTTGCTTTTAAAGTTCTGTTGGTTGGCAAGCTGTTGTGCAGCCATGTTGTCACTTAGCACAGTGATTGGCATTTCAGAAGGTATTCCAAGCTCTTTTGTTAGGCAAGCAAACCACTCTATTTGTGATACACATTCGCTTATGGCTGAGTACTCTGCTTCACAAGTACTTGTGGCAACAAATGTTTGTTTCTGGGATTTCCACTGAACCAGGGCATTTCCAATATATATGGCATAGCCAGTGGTAGACTTTCCATTTTCTCTGTCCCCCCAGCTGGCATCAGCGTATGCATACACTTGCTGATCATATCCTGTATCCAGCACCAGTTTGTAATCTTTTGTGCCTTTCAGATACCTTAGGATTCTTTTAAGTGCTACCCAATCTCTCTGAGCCGGGTCTGC